AAGAAAATAGACAACCTTAAAATTTGCAAAATGTTATAAGCATAGTCTATTCAAATCTGTCGTGTTTAATGCAAACATTGTATCTTCAAACTGTATGCTTATCGAGATGGGTTATTATAGGATGGAGGGTCATATGACTCATATGAGCCTACAAACTGAAAATACTTTGTATTTACTAGAAATGCTTAAAAATATGTCTTTCAGTCAGAAAGATGATCTGTATATACTTTTCGAAGCACTTCAATTAAGCATATACCAGTATAAAAAATTCTACGTGGAGCTTAGTCTACACATACTATTGGTGGTCATATTGAATTATAATTTTTTAGCAAAACAGTGCATGTAAACTCGAATCAAATTGACATAACTTTTATTATTGTGTTTTTCCTAAACGGTGGTGTTACCATGTTGCCGCTTTTCTGCGTCATAATACTGCCGAACTTTGCTCCAATCCGAGCGACTCCTTATTTCTTTTCAGGTTTCCAACATCACAACAATAAAAGCAAATGTGTGTCACGGTGTAAATAGGAAACTTCATATTTAAAAAGAATTACCAAATTCTATGTCCGCCAATCAAAAAAAAAATGAGTTTCCAAGTTTCCACCCGAATGTGGGATGTCCGGCAACCCTAATGCAAGAGCGGCAGAGCTACAGTCAAACCACCGTTGCCACTATGCCACTCAACGATCAACGATTGTACGGGTAATGGCATGGGTATCATGTAAAAAACCTATAAAACGTCAAAAAAAACCTATAAGACATCATCTTGCAAACGAGGTAGTTTTTAGGGCGCAAACAGTCATTCCACGTTTGCTCACTAGGATCGTTGTGAACGTTCATCTAAGGAGGAATCACTCAACTAAACTAAACGCATTATTGGTTGCATATGTTTTGTGAGGCCAAATGGTCCTTGTCTGTAGTTTTTATCTCTGAGAAGAAATTTGGTTGAATAGCAAGATTGCGTCTGGATGATTATGTGTATTGGTCTGCATGTGTATCAAATCAGTGATATTTGCTGTGTGAGAAAATCATTACTGAATATGCTACTAATAAATATCTATTGGCTGTGCCCGTCGGGTTATTTTTATGTTGTGCTTTTTGAAGACAGGTTATGTTCAAAGTTATAAATTACGAAAAACTGAGGAGAATTACGGGAAATCATCACCCCGTCCGCGTTGTGTGTAATTACTACTGTTAGCATGTATATGGCTTGTAATTCGACAGTGTACAGTGAATATAATTATTTCTTATCTTTATCATTTTTGAAATTCAGCAAATTCCAGAATGGATAAGGAAAAGTGGATGCGCAACTAAGTTCCAGCTTTTAATCTCAATTAAGTGTATTTGAGACAAGAACCCAATGTAATTATCATCAACACATACAACTTACAGCTTAGACCTCCAGTAATACCATCTCAGAAGCAGATTTTACATCACATCAGAGCCAAAAGTTGATAACAAGCCTCATGACGTTTAGGCAACACGTACAACTAAGTGCTAAGTTAATATCTTATAGAAAAACCTACATAATGCAAAAAAAAAAACAGCATAATGTCAAAAAAATCGGCATAATGTCACTTTTCAAGATACGTGATACGAATGCCGGTAGGGATACGGAAAACAGAGTAATCAAAGTAGTCATTTCGAGTTGGTACTCGTTACTTCGGGTATCGATGAGTAACGAGTACTCGAGTATCGTGTAGTGACTTTTTCAACACCACTAATACTTAGTCTCGAAAGCGGCGAAAGAACAGTGAAAAGGTTTTGCGGTCTAGGTTGTTCAGTCCTATGGAAATCTCTGAGAAATCCCGGTACTTTCAGAACTGGAATTTCTCATATCTATTCCCTATTGTAGATGTTTTGCTTGGTGGAACTTTTCCTCCATGTGCATTTTCCGTACTATACACTAACAGTAAGTATTATTCGTATAACAGAATAGAATAAGTACCGTTTCCTCTTATCTTTTATTCGAACTGTTTCAGATCCAAGAAAAACCAACATCATATCCAAGATATACCATCTCTACATAGAATACAAAACCGCAACGGTATCTCTCGATCTCTCTCTGGGATGCGGCAGTTATGCCAACCATCAGTAGCAAGCAGCAGCAAGGGTATTGTGTCGGAAATATTAATTACTCATCATCGATTAATTACTATTACTGGCTATTAACATTTATAATTCATCTTATCCGTACCGTCTATCTCTACATTTATAATTTCTATGCTATATGGTGCTGAATGCAGCTGGGCGGATGCGTCGGACATACGTCCGTTAGTCGCCTAAGTGCATTCGATAGATCGTATGATTGCCTTTGGGATGGCGCCAGTCAACCAATTGGATATCAGATTCGATCTATTCTTCTTTGGTATCTTTATATCCTACTTTTAATTAGGCTTGTTAATCATGGTGTATGACGCATTATCGGTACACAGGATGGTCCACGTAGAACTTCAGAGATAGAATACTCAAAAAGTTGACGTAAAATTTGCCTACGATATATAATCAGAATTTCAATACGACGTTTCGTCATTGTCAACCAGCTTCAACTTGAGATGAAAGAGTTTTTAATTCTAATTCAAAAGATAAATGACGTGTCATACCTTAACATTGTCAAACTTTTATTATTTAAAAAACACAGTTTCCTAGGTAGGCCTTGAAATTATCAAATATTAATTTGTTTTACATACTACCAAATTTATCACAAAATCATTTTATATAATAAATTGTACGTTGCCATTAGCACTTTTTCTTCTCTACAAGATGGCATGTTCAATTCAATTCAATTGGAGGTTTCTTCTTTCGACTTCCATCATGTTTTTTCATATGGTCACTATCCAGTGAATATGATGACACCAAAATGATATTATTCGGTCACTTTTGGTCGGAAACGTCATTGACTAAAAAATCAACGCGTACCTACAAAGAAAATGTAGACAGTACGGTAAACTAAATATTCAAATACTAATATTTACTTTATTGTTATTTATCAGTCATTCCTTGACCAAAACTATGTTGTTAATATGACTTTTCTAATAATAATATTCCATGTTCAGATATTTCAGATTGCCATTTTACATCATGTTTTATTCCCGTAAATATCAAATGTATTAGAAACTCCTCTGTATAACAATAAACAATCTTTTTTAGAATATTTGTAATCAAGCGCGGTAAAAATTAAAATTTTGGAACGGTATATCATTCAGCAGATCATCAGTGAAGAAGCCCGATTGTTGTCCAAACTCCATGCGTTGGACCGTCATCTCGATTGCTTCGTCGTCTTTAAGGTACATTTTGGTACAAATTAGTTACACATAGTCAATAACGCTTGGGTGACATCTAGGAAACAAGAAGTTGGCGTCTTTTGGAAAAACAAAGCGATTTTGATAAATTGCTACAAACAAATTCTGAACTATCGGAGGACTGATACGGGTTTGAGATTAAACGGTGTTTTTCGGTTCTTTATTAACCATTTCGATACACTTTATACAAATGCTCCTGCAAAATCTCAGAGGTGATAACGATATCTCGGAACACGAGGGTTCAAGAGTGGTGGGTAAGTAGAATATTAAGTTTCGGGGCATTTCTACCACTCCTGAGATTACTGCTTGTGGGGCGTCGTTGTCACACGTCATACAGATGTCATATCGACTTTGCATTTGGTCTTTTATACTGCGTACTATGAAAATTTTATGTGACATTAGAGCGTCATAATAACGTCCTTTATACGTAATTTTTTGTTGGTCGACGTACGTCAGTAGTGCCCTAAAAATGCATTATGACGTCGCTATGTTTACTGGGTACATTGAAATATTGTACATCTAACTACTCTAAGAATAAAATATTACTTTAATTAAATATGTGACATAAATAAATATGTTATATTCATAACTAAATGCAGAATCAAAAATTGTGTTCAATTGCGCAAAATTTCGAAATTTAACTACACCCTCTTGTCGAAAGGCAACAAGTGGCAATGCTAATATGCAATTTGTTTTAAAATCCCATGTCAAATAAAATCAGAATATAAACAATGACTTTTCAATAAATCCGGTATACAAAACAAATGACGATCTGATAATTTCAATGCCTACCTTGAAATTCTTTTTTTTTTAATAACTAAGGTTTGGCAGTTGTTATGTAAAACATTATTCATCTATGCAAAAATCCAATATGGCGTCCATTAGATAAAATAAGGTTGAGGACAAGAGACGAAACGTCATACTGAAATTCTTATGCCATCTTGTAGAGGAGAAAAAGTGGCAATGTTAATGTGCAATTTATTTTGGAATCCCAATACAAATAAAGTCAGGAAAAAACTAAAGCGATTTGGGGAAAATTCTGTTTTTCTGTCTCTCTCCAGAAGTAATTTGAATTTCGAATCTTTCCAAGGGGCATGTTGTTAGTTTCCTAAATACGCAACTTTGTGATACAATGTTTTGAGATTTTCAAAAGACCATACCCACGTGTTTGCTTTTCGTGTTGTCTCTCTCCACGATTAGGCCTATCCCGTACTAACAGCGCTGTTTGCGGTTGGTTATGGTTACAGAGACGGAAAGCAAACATGCCACAGAACTACATCTAAATAACTCAAGTAATTTAAGAGAAATTAGAAATACCGATATTAGAAGGTATTATATATAGGAGCTGGTATATTATAAACCTAAATAACCGCATATATAAATTAACGAAATTTGAAATACTTTAAAAATCAGTTAACACTCAAGATTTCAAACGCATTGTATGGCCCCGGATTCCGAAGTTTAAACCTTCACTAATTATTGTTTGTGTTTTACATACATCCGAGACTTTCGCAACATATTCTAAGCATCCTGGATTCTACTAGAATATTTAGTCTTGTAAGAGTTGAAATTAGAGATAACATGATTTGGTAGTAGCATAACCCGACATGATGTAGGAGTTTGAGTGATTCAAGTAATTTAAGTATTCTGCCATCAAAAACAACCACTAATAGCCAATGTTTTCTTTGATTCCTTCTAGCAGACAGCTACCAGTACCAGCTGCAATCGATGTGGCAGAAGTGTTGGAACACGAACCAATCGCTGGTGCACAACCTGCGTTTTCGAGAACGAGGGCCCTTGAAGTCCTGGCGACCGGAAACGATGGCCGAGGCGATCTTCAGCGTGCTGAAAGAGGGCCTGTCGCTTTCACAGGCCGCCAGAAAGTACGACATACCGTACCCGACGTTCGTGTTGTATGCCAATAGGGTGCATAATATGTTGGGGCCTTCCGCCGATGGGGGATCAGGTGGGTTCACGATTTTCGTCATTTTTATATTGCCATAATAATACTAATACTATCACAATAAGGTAGAAGCCACAGATTTATCAACCACTATCAAATAGTCGATACTTGTCATTTTATCCGCAGGGATATTACGTAAAGCATCGATATTAGAGTGATTAAAAACCGGTATAATGTCAACTTGTGTACTAACGTAAGTAGTCGCTAGCCCATTCGGCACCGACTCGCTATGAGCGCCACCTATGGAGAAAAGGCACAACGACCGTCATTGCAGTAATAGTATAGAACATACAACTTAGGCCATACAAGCTATGACCCAAGCTGTTTGTCTAACAAAACGTAGGCATTCTGCACCTAGGCAGTTGATAATATTCGATCGAATCGTACCAAGCCAATTGGAGGTAAAAATATAAAAATAATCGACAGAAAATTAACCTGGAAGCGCCATGTTATGTCTGCCCGAAACAAGGCTGTGGGGATTTTTAAACTACTTTACCCCCTGCTAAGAGAGAATAGTCGATATTCAACCTCAAATAAATTACTCTTGGTTAGTTCAAAGGGCGTTTTATAGCAAAATATACTAGTTTATCTTGCCGATATGAATCGAAAACTATTCCAGAAGAGAAATGTTATTTTTATGCAAAAAAAGGATAGGTTACGTTTTTCTTCTAAACAAATTCAAACATTTCGTATTTGTGAGTAACTCGCAACAAAAGATGATAGACACATCCGCTTTGTTTTAAAATGTATATAGTAACGTATGTATTTCGAATATCGTAGCGCATTTGCTCATTTACTCACAAATACGAAATGTTTGAATTTGCTTTGAAGAAAAAAACGTAACCTTTGTTTTTCCCATAAAAAGTAACATTTATCTTTCGGAATGGTGTGTAATTCATATCGACAAGGTAATTTAGTGTATTTTGCTGTAAAATGCTCTTTGAACTAATCTGGTATATAGCTCAATAAACTAGTAGTGATGTCCGGAAAACAGCTGTTTTGGGATAAACAATTAGAAATTCTCAAAAAACTACTTGACCATTATACTCCAATTTTGCTGTTGTTATTCAGGAGTATGAATTCTGCGGATCTGAAGAATTTCAAGTAGTTGCGTAAAATTATCGTCGCATTACCAAGAAGTGCCAAAACCTACATTTTGCCTGGTTTTTCGGCCATAACATTTTTGCTATTAGTCGGATCTTTTCACGTGTGATCTCATTCTATAGGTCTCATAAATACCTCAAAAGTTGTTTCGCTACTGTCAACACTTTCGATTGAATCCCAAAAACACGTTTTCTCATCTTTGTTGTCAAATAATAAGTTTTCCCACAAAAATTGGGGTAACCATTTTATGCGTCCACGTTTAAAATGCGCCCTTGAACAACTTGCACCAATAAAACCGGACTTTGCAATTATTTCGGGGACATTTGCTAATATAATTAGACTATACGATAGATGAACGCCTACATGAGATTTGCTTAGCGGTGCGCCTGTAGCCTGTTCAGAAAATGCGTCGATCGATGCTCAAAGTCAATACCACAAGTCCCGCATTTCTTCCCGCGTGTGTTTCTATTTATGTTGCTATATTGGAATTCGTTTAAGTCACAGAGCTTCTGCACTACACATATATGTACAGCCCCTGTATTCCTGTTCTTGATTCGTACAAACATACATCATCAAAATAAGAACAACTATGCCGTAAATCTAAGTTCGACAACGAAAGTCTGAAGAATAACTGTACTCGTAACATCTATATTAAATTATAAAAAAATAATTGACTATACCTATTGATATTTTTATCACCTGCTGATATAATAAAACTGCTTGATTGTGTCAGTATTTACACCAATTACTAGATTTGCTTAACGGGTAGTTCAGAGTATTATTCCTTAAGCTTAGAACACATTAGTAGACCCCGTTGCGCAATTTTTCTATAGGCAATCTGGAGACGGTCTCAAGACACGATCTATAGATGGTCTATAGACATCCTTCTTTGTCTCGTCTAGCGTCCATACGATAATATGAATTTTTCGGTCTCATGTTCGTTTTCGCCATCAAAGACATTGTTTTATGTGGAATGGCTGGGATATGTCTCGGGGTCCCTCAAAATATCTTGTTTTGTTAACAGAGCAATGAATTTTTTTAGGTTTTAATCTTTAATATTATTACACTAATTAATTATATATGCAGCGTATTTCTTTTGTTCTCATATAATAAAATATTCCCTTTCTGAGGATTTCTGAGCACAGATAGAACACAATGGATTTAAGGAGCAATAATAAGATAAATTCTAGAAGTTCCACTGAGGTAGAAAAATTACTAGCCCCAAATATGGTTTTCCTATAAACTGTCACCTTTGAACTAGCTGACATTCACTTCATGCTCACTTGTAGTAGATGCGAAATGAAGTAGCGGCACACTAGCAGCTACCTAGTTCGCGAGTTGACCTTTTACCGATTTTTTTATATTATATAGGTTTTTGACATAATAACCCTGCCGAAGTTATACAGTGCTTTTCAAAAAGGTCCCCCGCTACTTATTTTTTGAAAGGGTCAAGTTATTAAGCTGAAGCTCGAGTAATGAAATCAGTGTATTAATACTATATTTGTGCATTACAGTGGCAGTTGATGATGTCAATATGACGGCTGTGCGCCATTTTTTAATATATTAAAATGAAATGGGGGATCATGTGTGACATCTCAATATTTGAATGTTTTGATGATTAGTTGTTGAGTTATAAGCAATTCAATGTACAATAACGCTCAACTTTGACATACTGCCAGCTCGCTAGTTTGAAAGATAGTCATTTTATATTCCGGATTTATAAAGGACCCATAAGGGCTTTAAAATAAGGTATCAACCCGTTCAAAAGCTCAGTGGAGGGGGGACCTTTCTGAAAATCACTGTATGTGTGGGATTATCAGAGAAAACGGTTTAGACAACCCTATTGAAATAGACGTATCCAACCTTCTCCAAATACAATCACATAAGTGCCATCTATTACCGGAATCGATCGCTGCTTGAGTGAGTAACAGCTGTTGGAACTGTAAAGATGTTTTAGTTCGCGTCTAAAGTCGCGTCAGATTTAGTCTTAGAACGACGAATAGGCTATCGTCCATTATATCGCCAAAATCGGCGGCACCAAACATTCACAGTGAAGATTCGGCTTTCGATGCGACAGCTACTATCCACTTTCGCAGTGATCGACTCTGGCAATAGATGGCACTTGTACGATCTTATTTAGATAGGCATTATACTTCCGATACAGAATACTTTACTCTGCTTTCGTTCGTTCATCTACCTAGCGACCAAACCTAGACTGAGCTGATGATTGTCAATAAGCATGACGCTGGTCACGATTGGCTTTCTGTTGGTCGGATGAACGAAAGCAGAATGTCATTTGAAGTTCTAATTACAGATTTGAGGCCCAAGGGCAGGGGTCGACCTCAAAGGATATTGCTAGGTGTATGGCCAGACGAACACATCAGAGGAGTGATCAGAGCTGTGGTATTTAGGGATTCGCATCAGATCAAGGAAGAACCGCATTTGACTACTTATCCAAGACTACATGTAAGTATACACTAAAAAAACATTGATAACTGAAAACAGTCAAACAGAAAAAATACCTATTTGGAGCTTTATTAACAAACTATCTTACTCATTGTTTGGAGATCAGGAAAATATAGAAATAGTCTAAAAAATGAAATAATACATTTGTGTAAGTGTGTAATGTGCTACATTTTTTTATTTGGAAAATCCAGCTGAATGCTATGGCCTTGGATTATATTTTAACTTTGATGGCATCGTTGGATTGTATCTCAGTCACGTACTTGTTTAATTTAATCTCAACGTCGACCTGTCATAATTGTAAAATCTTATGCATGAGATGGAAAATTCGATGTAACTACTACAGCTGAACTTTAAAATCACTATCACTTTCAGAGTCAATATTGATGTATCGAATCATTTACTGTATTTCAATTCCTTTTGTTAATTGATAGATTGATTGATGGATTGATGGATTGATTGGTCAGTTAGTTGGTTGGTTTGATTGATTGAGTGAGTGATTGGTTGGTTAATTTATTTATTCATTGGCCGATTGATTGATTGGTTGATTGTTTGTTTGATTGATTGTTTGATTGATTGTTTGATTGATTGTTTGATTGATTGTTTGATTGATTGTTTGATTGATTGATTGTTTGATTGATTGATTGTTTGATTGATTGTTTGATTGATTGTTTGATTGATTGTTTGATAGATTGAGCTACTTATTGATTTATTTATTGATTATTTGATGATTGAATGAATCATTAATCGGTTATGTGTCTGGCTCGTTAACTAATTATTGACCTAGTTTATTAACTGGCTGATTAGTCGATTACTTGATTGAATGCTTGATGGATCGAATTGTTGATTTGTTGATTGAGCCATTATTAATTGGTTGAATCATTGACTAATCTATTGAATAGTTAGTTAGTTTATTTAGTGATATGATTGATTGGGTGGCTGAGTAATTGATTGAGTTGACTAGCCGATTTCTTAATCAATTCACTTGTTGATTTAATTGATTGGAACATTGATAGAATTAACACTTGATAAGCTTATTATTGGCTGATTTATTGTTTTTCAATATTGATGTAAATTTGAAAGATACATATTTCCGATGATTGATTTACTATCATTTGCCAGGATGGCGTGAGCATGCAGAACTACCACTCGTCAACGCCAACGTCGGTGGGCAGCGGTAGCCTTCCCAGTGCCGGCGGCGCTACAGGCGGCCCCTTGGGCGGCCCGGGCGGACCTTGCAGCAACGGGGGCGGCCAAGACGTGAACAGCGTCTCGCCGGGGGCGGCCGCAGCAGCTGCAGTGGCGGCGGTTGCGCAGGGTCTCAGGCAGCAGATGTGCAGCATGGTAGCTGCGGCGCATTCACACTCGTCCAGTCATGATACGAATCCGGTGGCTAGTTTGGTTAATTCGCTGGCACTGGCCGGGCATTGCGGTAAGAATATTCTTCAGAAAAGTGTAGGTTGTATGAGAGTATATGTATAAAGAATAAGATTTAGGGCATGCTGGAGCAGAGCAAGTGAGAGAGATGATTTAAAAAGGTGTTGGTATTTCTAGGGCAGAATAAACTTCAAAAAAACTAGCAATGATTCATTATAACAAACGTCATTATGGAAAAAAATATCTTGGAAAATTTCCCTAACGGATGCATCTCACCTTGTCTAATAATACAGAGTGCGAGAGAAACTATTAAGCAGTTTGAAATAGTTAAAGAAAAAACATCTGGATCTATGGAAAACATATTTTTAAATTCGGAGTCAATAGTTTATGCCATTTCACTTTTATTAAGTTTTTAGGCGACACGCTCCTGAAGCTCTCAACACATATCGCGAGCTCACCAGATTTGATCACAGTGCCTTCCTTATCTGAGGATATCTAGAGTAAAAGATACTTAAGCAACCTTCTCACACCCTATTAGAACAAACAGAGCGAATATTCTTGGAAAAGTAAACGCGGCATAGCTACAGGAAAATCTGCTTGGGTATCATCCTAACACTCTATTAGAGCTAAAAGAAATTTTTGAAGAAGTAAACGGTATTCCCCGAAATATGGACAAACGAACTGCTCCAGCTAGGAGTCGTTTCCAACAGTGCATTGCTGCTAATGTCTGCCATTTTGAAGCTTAGTTAATGTAAAATCCTATCAACAGTTGACCCTGAAATTAAAAACTGTTTTGCATAGATCCAAATGACTTTTTTCTAACTCTTTGAACCTGGTCATATTTAATCTTTCTAATCAAATACTAAACAATATTAAACTCAACTTGGGGTTTTATGTGGTTTAATTTTAAGGCAATAACGTACCCAATCCACATTTGAATGAAAAAATGTCATATATATATATATATATACAGGGTGACTTTGAAGTTGAGTCATTAATTTTCAGATAATGATTGTAGAAGGAAGATAAACCAAAATATGTGTGTAAAAATAAAAAAAAAATAAAAAAAAAATCACCTTGTTTTATAAAGTATCCTCCCGACAAGTATTTCAGTGCGGACCTGTATTTGATCGTGAGGTCCCCTGTGAGGTCTGAAGTCACCTGATTCACGAGCCCGTTGTACTACTATTAACAAAGGCACGAGGGGTTGGTTGCACGATTGGGAAACCGATCCGCATAAACATGTGCCATTTTTTATTTCGTTTGAGCCACGCAACAGATACTATTCACACGCGACTGACAGTGATTGTATGTATAACTGAACTGAATAAAGTAAACAATTCTTTCGCTTTTTTGTTTCCGATGCGATGAACCGATAAGGTGGATTATATCCGTTGTTGCCAAACACCAGCACATGATGTTATTGAGACAGGGCGGTACTCAAACTTCCAAAGGGCTATAACTTTGTTACTTTAATTTCACCAGAAAAATCGTAAAGGAAAAAAACATTTCTTTTGATCAGATCTACTCACTGTTAAAATAAATGACTCAACTTCGAAGTCACCCTGTATATATATATATATATAACAAAAATAGGAAAATAATGGGCAAAATCCGCAAAAAGTGGATTCGAGCAGAAATAGGATAGGTAACCCGAGCGATACGTATTTCTGCTGGTTGGCTTCATCACGCCCGAAACGAATGCACATATGCAACTACAAAAGTAGATACACATGCCCACACATCCGGATACGGGTGTAACCTGAGGAAACGAAGATGGAAAGGAAAAAAGACACACGAAGTCCACAACAAGAGCCAACCTACACATTGTAGTATAAAATGGCTAGAAGACCTCGAATTTTCAAGGCGACAAATACCCACAACCACGCGGCCGGTTATAGCCACTTGCTGTGGTACTTCAAGCCCAAAGGATCTACAAAGAGAAAATTATCATGCGGAGAAAGGTATATAACATAATATTGCTCGGATTACCTATCCTATTTCTGCTCGAATTAACTTTTTGCGGATTTTGCCCATTATTTTCCTATTTTTGTTCCATCTTCGTTTCCTCAGGTTACACCCGTATCCGGATGTGTGGGCATGTGTATCTACTTTTGTAGTTGCATATGTGCATTCAATTCGGGCCTGATGAAGCCAACCAGCAGAAATACGTATCGCTCGGGTTACCTATCCTATTTCTGCTCGAATTCACTTTTTGCGGATTTTGCCCATTATTTTCCTATTTTTGTTATATACCTTTCTCCGCATGATAATTTTTTCTTTCTTTATATATATTATATATATATATATATATATATATATACCCGTTGCAGATGTATCTACGAGTATATCAAAAGTTGCTGTTTTGGCGATTCGCTGATGTCTATAATGGCTAAATGGCGTTTTTGACTAACCACGATATCCCACACATGGCTATTAACCACTTAAACACCAAGATGGGCGCCACAGGGAAATTATTCAATGGTCAACAATGTTTGTTTCAATGATACAAAGAACAAAGATGATTCTGGATTTAGTTCAGATGACAGTGTGAAGGACTGATAACACTTCTGATAATGACTCTGAGCGGGTTTACTATAAATAAATTTGCGACTTATAAATTTACTGCCGTTATAAATGTGGTTTTTGTTACGTAGGTAAAAAAAATGTTTGTACTAGTTTCGAAATACCACTAAATAATGAATTCAAACTCTCTATTTATCAGAATACATCATAATCCTTATTGAGAACGACTATCGTAGATCGCAAGTAGTTTTAATAGTTATCAATAATATATAATTTTGTATAGGTGACGACGTTCTTCTTCTTCAGGAACATTCTTATTTTTTTCGAAATAGAGAGACTGGGGCAATTGGCTCCGTACCTTTCACGAAAAAGAACTTGAGGATCGATAAAGAGTACATCAAATTTAATGATGCGCGCTGTTTCAAGTATTACAATCAACGCCCAAATTATATGTTTAAAAAAAATAATATTTAAATTTCCCTTGGGGTAAAATTTTTTTCAGTAAGGTACCAAGCCACAATATTTTCAAAAATGAATTTATTTTACGAAAATGTGTTATATTTTTTCGATTCTGTTGTCACCAAATCTTTGTTCATTGAAATATAAACCCATTACAGCGTTTAAATCTAAATTAAGCAAGAAAGGTAACTTCAGGATTTGCACAAAACTTTAGATTTCTCGAAATAAAGTCAATGCGACTTAAGTAACTTTTTGCCCCAAGCCCTTCAATTAGCTATTATAGTAGGAATGCCTAGAATTTCATCTTTTGATTTTTTTAAATGATCGTCTTTCGACAGGTGGTGGTATGTCAGTCCCTAGTAACGGCGCCCCGCCAATGAGTATGAGTCACATTTCTTCCATGAGGAGTATAGGCAGCCCTGCGGGCAGTATACAGGATCTCAGAATCAGTCCCGCGGAATCTGCACTGGATAGCCCCATTTCTTCGCCATTAGGATTAACTGTGAGTAAGGTCTACTTAATTCAATATTTCATTTTTTCTTGTTTTTTAAACTGCTGTACCTCAACTTTCATCGACAAAACATGAAACAAATATGAAGTATCAGAAATATATCAGAAAAACTATACTGTTAAATGATATGCATTCGTGGAAATATTTAGCTGTTGTAGACTTAAAAACCTACTACTATCACCCCTTGAAAGCCCCCACTCCCAATTTCTGGCTCAATATTATTTATACAAAGTATAAAAACGCGAAGTGTGGCTAAAAAGCGTTTTTCAAGTTCTTAAAATTTCATTTTTCTGGGTTTTGTTGCATATTTTCAACTTATTTTTTCCAGGTATCTAGTTCAATGGAGCCTGCGATCAACATGAACATAGGCGCAGCGATGGACGTATCATCAATAGGTGTGTCTGGAATGACCTACAAACCTGTATCGAGGACATTCGCCTCTCCGCGACCTGAGAACCTCTTCCAGGAGGACATTGACGACCTCATGAAGGCCAGTATGCGAGTGGGAGGTCAGAAGGACGGACAGGGACAGCATAATACTGGACAGCAACAGGTATAACACAAAAGATTCAGCGAATTTTGTGCAGTGCTTTTCAAAACGGTCCCTTCGACCCACTACACTAAACGATTTTTTGGCGGCCAAATTTTGTTACGTGGCTAAACTGGTTGAGTGGATTTCAAATCTAACGTCAATTTAATACTAGGACCCACACCTTTCGGAGATCCGAATCGATCCATTCTCTATCTCAAATTTTCCCCCACGACAATTCATGTTTTTTTGACGCTAATACTCGAATTCAGCGTCTCAATGTTCCTAAGTGTACAAAGTTTCATTCGCTTGTGACAACAGAAGACAAAATGGAAATTTGAACATACAAAATTGTCAGGTTTTCTATGACAGCCTCTCAAGTTACCAAACCAACACTCATTTTTAACAATACCATAGTTTCAAGATTATATCTTTCTCCTCTGAAACCAAAAATATAATTTCCATGACAGTCAAGCATTTTCTTTTCAAGTCCAATACAACGCGCTTTTTTGAGAATCTGTTAGATGTTGTCCTTGATTTCATGTTTCAAAATCAATGAAGTCAATTAAATACGTATTGCTATATAAAAACCTCTATTACTAAAGTTAAGATATGCCACCGTTTTAAAAGATGCAATCAAACACCGAATATTTCTATAATAAAGTCCGAAGAGCATCTGTCATTCGTAAAATGTATAGCTTAGAAATAGAAGGCATTGATTTTGATATAGAAGCTGAGAGAAGATATTCAAGATCAGCAGGGGTATTACGTAACTTGAAAAGTGACATTATGTCTTTTTTTTTTAAATTGTCGTGTTTTTTGACATTTTTGTAGATTTTCATGCTCACAACAAGCGCGAAATGAACTATTTGCATGCACTCTCCTACTTGTCAACAAGTTGACATTTTATAGGTTTTTCTGACATTTAGGTCTTTTCCGTGCCGATGGCTGATGGGAAAACACAAAACAAAAAAAAAGATGCACACGAAATACAGGGTGTTTCAGAACTATGGGATCAAACTTCTAGGAGTTATTCAGTGTAACAGTAGAAAACATTTAAGTATAGCGACCCGTATCCGTCACTACAGCACTACAGCCCTAAGACGCGTTAAAATTTAGAAAGACGATGAATTGCCTAAATAGGATTTAATGCATTTAATTTTTTTCCTGTTGTACATGATTTCATCACAACAATTTTTCAAAATGTCTTAGTCCAACCTGAATACACCGATTTAAACGTCGCAGATGATTTCGGCGGACTTGACTAAAAATTTGATACTCGTTTTGAATAATTTCAAATGCTGCTGTAATTCGTCCAATTAAGTCTTGCTCTATTTCTACTGGAGTTTCGTAAACCAAAGACTTTATATGTCCCCACAGGAACGGTGTATTCAGGTGAGAGGAAGACATTTTGAACAATTGTTGTGATGATATCATGTACAAAAGGCAAAAATTAAATGCATTAAATCCTATTTAGGCAATTCATCGTCTTTCCAAATTTTAACTCGTCTTAGGGCCGTAGTGCGTAGTAACACTTTTCCGGACTCAAATGTTTTCTACTGTTACCCTGAATAACCCCTACAAGTTTGATCTCATAGTTCTGAAACACCCTATATATGAAAGCTACTTACGGTTGCCTGTTCCGCGATTTCCGTACCCGTTGCAAAAACAATGACGGACTCACACTACCTGATTATTATAATTACAATACGTGTTTTCTAAAATTTCACTCAAAAATTGCAAAATTTGCAAGACCCGTCAACCAACGCGTTGACATTTCTCTATTTTCACTAATTGTAGTAATTGCCGACTAGGCAACAAATGATGGAGATTATCGATGTGTTGTTTTCATAGGTATACAACTGAAATTTTGCACAATATTTGAAGTAAATGAATGAGAAATGTATGAAGTAGGTATAAATTCTGAATGAAACAATTCCTACCGTTTATGCTGCCATATCTATGTATCTTTAAAAAATTGCAGTGATCTATGAACAAAAACTAAAAAATAAAAATCGTTAAAACTTCTTGTAAGATTTTAAAGACTCAAATTCAATTTTTTGAGAGTTGAAAAATTGGAAGTGAAGATTGCAGAGGGTGGGGTATATCTCAATATTTTACGTTGGTATATTTAAACTTTTCTAACCCCGGTAATTTTGCGCGCCGATTAGGCGTATTTCACACATCGATTCCCCAGTACAGTTGTCCTTGAAACTTAGAAATATAAATATTTTCAGTACCGACTCGCCGCTCACATTGGCGACGTTTATTCATCGCGACTTGATCGTATCGTTTTCTAATATGGTTGGTAGGACGAAGAACAACTTTCTAGATCGCAAAGTTGTCAAATGGAAGAGGGCTCTTCTTTCTTCTAAGAGGGATTAACTTGAGCCGAATATAATCATTTTTGAAGAACAGATGACAGTGTTTCCTGGGCAGTGCAGATGAAACCTTCTAACACTATATTCACTAGTAATTTTGATGCGGCTTCAAAAGCACGTAACACTGATTTTCAAAAACTACTAAACCTTCTGGACTACTCAGAAACCTAACTGATATGTGAAACTGGGCATACTTATTGAAACTTCGGCAGAGATTGTTCCATTTCATCACGATTGGTACCGTCCATCTAACTATTAGTTTTCTTTGTTGCAGGCGCAGCAAGGGCAACAAATCCAGTCACCTCCCGTGAGCGCTGCTCACCAGCAACCCCCCACCATCAAAATGGAACCGGTTGGTGACTGCAGAGGAGAATGAGCCCAAAACCAGGAAGGCCAGCCCACGCAGTCCACTCCACAAGTCGAAGACTGCCCTCCCTGTCCCGTGATGACGTCATCGGTTCAGGCGTGTGATAGTTAAAATGGCGGCCCCTAACCGCCACCAAGATGTGTACGTAGATTATTATTATGGAAACCGTATGTAGAGGAGGTGATGTAGCTACAAGCGGAAATGTGCGGAAAGAGCGAATGATCAAGTTGTGAAAATATATACGTGGGTCTGAGGTAAGCAGAGGTACATACATCCTGGGAACATCCAGGAATATTATTTCTCGATACTGATTTCTGAGCTCGTTTACTTTTAATGGTGATCAAAACAACGAAAAGAGGAGGTATCTCGTATTCAGCTATGCAGCTATTCGACATAATCAAGTAAGAATATAATATTTATATATTTCACACATGAAAACATGACAACAAATAATAGACTATTTAGAGGCACTAAAAATACACCATATCGTCAAGTGACAGAGGTATGTCTCGCCCTACTTGGTACTTGAGCACTGACGCTTTTACTCGTATGTAAGTTGTTTTGCAGAAACTAATTAAACTTCTGGTATACACTGATCCAATAGATATAGCTGCTAATCATTGGTTAACGTATTCTGCCAAGAAAGTAGCTAATGATATATTCCCGCGTCAGAAAAATTACCAAAAAAAGAAATACCGTAGCACCATATATGAGATTATGTCAATGTTGTTGCTCTATTTACTATAGGTAACGAAAAAGTTGGTGATATAGAGACACAGCTGACATTCTCATATATTATGACGCTATGGTACCTGATCTTGGATAAGTTTTCGGACGCGGGAATACAGCATTAGATTATCTATCTTCATACGTTAATCAACGCTTCTAATGATCATGACGACATTTAAAGTCGGTTATGGATTGAATATATTCTCAATATTTGGTGAAAAAATTCTTATATGCTACTGAATGTCAATTCATTATTGCTAAAAGACTTCAGAATGTAGTGGAATATCTTAGAAAATTTTTATTGCTAATACCTGGTTCTTAAATTCATGCCATATAGAGTTATCTCATTTTGACAAAAAAAAAGTCCTATGAGCGATCAATTTTGAAATTAAAATGATTTGTGTTCCCAAAATTGTATGTACCTATTACCTATCTCAATTCCAACATTGTTATTAAAAAATCTAGCTAGTAAACTATATATTTTGGACGATTTATATACGATTTTAATTTATCTAAGGAAAAGCCAAAGTTTTCGGCCAGTTCTCTATATAAAAAAGACAAGACTGTTGCGTACAATGTGTATACTATACTGTTGATCTAAATTCGAAATTAGCTCTAAAAATTTATAATCTATATAGTATAAAACTGAGCTACCAAACGAACAAAATAAGAATAAGAACTGTATGAAAGAAATAACCATTCGCAAATTATCACAGAGTGATGAGCCCGAGGTTCTTGTTCAGGTATTTGTGATACAAAAAGTTGGATAAAGACATCAAAATTCAGACTGAGTGTACTAAAATAGATTGCATTATTGCAAGATGCCCAAGAAAATTTGGGAGCTGATTTAGCACGTAAAAGTATGAAAAAAGTTCATACACACATGTTTAGCGAAAAATCGTTTTTTCAAAACTATTTTGATTGCAAAGTTTCGTTTTATGCCAGCTATTTTATAATAATCAGAATGACGTGCTGGTTAATAAAAAAAATATTACTTTTTTGGAAAAAAGCAGGAGTTCTTTTTTGCTAAACATAGAGATTTTCTGCCAAGAACGCAATTGTTGCAAGTGGTGCACTGACTTAGGGATAAACGCCATTCTAAGAAGCTATTTATAGAAGCTCTGGATCTTTATTTTGATGTAACGTATTCAGCGCCTCAACAGAACATAAGAGCGAATCACCCTGTATAAAAAATAGATAAAGGTCAATCTACATTCCCCACGTTCGCTTTTCGACAATCCTCCGTGATTTTATGGGATTCGATGAGTACTCTAGATATAAACTGTTCATATCCTGTTGATACCATAAATCATATATACACGATGTCTCAATATATTTCCACTTCAGAACATCACTGCTATTCTAAAATACGTGACATATGCATCGAGGCAGCACCTATCTGAAACTCAGATACCCTAGGTTGAAACCTCATGAGTTGGTCTGAAAAATGCATAGGTGTCCTTGTAGAATCTGTGTCATTAAAGCAAAATATACGATATGTATCAAGTTTGTGGATCAAAATGTATTGAGACGGTTTGTATATCCGTTAATAGATATTTTGTGCTGTACAATGGTGTGAAACTGACTTTGGTGCATTTTCGATTTACTGGTATTTCAAAATTAGTTATTTTTGTCTTTTCAAAAAATATAACCTATTCTTTATTTAAGATTTTCAGTTCTATTTTAACAACGACGATATTATACGTGAAATGTTCTGCATAAATGTTCATTGAAAGATTAACAAGTAAATGGATATGACTTGTTTTCATCAAACATTGAATGTTTATAATGCGGTGCAAATGATATTATTTTAATAGAGCAGAAAATTCGCCAATATCTGACGCCTTCAATTTGTTGCTTTAATATTCAATTGATTGCAGAATCATTAATATATATTCAGTTTATGGATGGTCTATCATTGATTACACAATATCAAATATGTAATAGCACAAGGCCACAAAAAACGCGGGATACCAGCACCAGTTTTACTATAATTTTTCTTGTATTTTTGTCCGCTGAACTCGAATTTGAAGTCGATTGACAAATATGAAAGTAACTTCATCAACATTATGTTTTATTTATACTGGTCGTAGTTGCAAAGACCTGCTGGATGTTACAAAGAGAAACAAACAAAAAAATGACATCAAGTAAGTTGAGTCTGCAATACCCATGCAACGCCGTCATCAGTTCTTCAAGAATTACGGTCAGCACAAGGTAGACCCTGAAAAAAGTTAGTAACGAACATGTATAACAATGAAATTGAACGGATTGAGTTAGTCAAACAGGCCCACACATTCTTCCCCTGCCCGTGGCAGTAAGACCAGAACACCTACCAAGACCGGCACGTTAGCCTGTGATCCTACACTGCAGAAGCAGGAACTCGTATCGGAAACATTTCTCTATCATCCCAGGGTTTAAGGGCAAATGCACGGGCAAATGATGATGATGATCAATATGTCTAATCCAAAAAATATATCTAATTTTCGAAATTTTTTACTCCGTCGCCTGTAGGATCATTTGAAGACAAACGTAGCACTAAATGACGAACAATATAAGGGTATCGTCATATAAAAAAATCCCTGGATCATAGGTTTTCTCTAAACTTTGTCAATCGACTCTCAACTCTGACTTGAAATTCATGTTCAGCGGGAAAAAGTACATGAGAAGAATATAGTGGGACACTTACCACTTTCTTGTGGACCTGTGTAATATTCCGAATGATAAGAAGGTAATCCCAAAAATACAATTACACATCATTATATAGCTTAGAGATTGGTCTGTTTTTCTGCATTTTTTGTAAAAGCTATAGCGGTTTTTGTATGATCATGACATACCACCTAGCCGCATGTTCTTGAGGAATGAATCTGAATATCCTATTTCTATTTCGATTTCAAAAATGCATCAAAGAAGTCTCATAGATTGTTGAATACTGTACAAAAATCCGTGGTTAGTTCTTATTTCGTGAGATGATAATATACCCGATTACCAATTAAGTAGAGTACATACATACCTATATAGCGTCTTAGCAGTTCTGTGGAAAATGATTTAATTTTTGGTGCAATAATCCATCATGTTATATAGAGAGTTAATAACGTTCCTGACCAAAGTTCAAAGTATGATTCGTTGGGCGACTATAAGACGAAAGGAGTGTTCGTATAAACATACAGGGTGCTTCTCATTGGAAGTTATGAAATGATGCTTTAGGATTTGTCCATGCCTATTCCATGGCGACCTTGAATTTGGCATTGATCATAACCTTGAAGGACAAATCAGGATCAAGACGATTGTTTGTTTGGAACCCTATACTTTTCACCCCAGAAAACGGATAAAGCAGAAGATTCTTAGGTGAAAATCATTTTGATCCTGAAGGTCCTTGGCCAAGGTCACCATAAGAAAAACCCTCATTTGAAAATATTTCAGAGATATTTCTAAAGCTGATGCAATAAGGACTCAAAACAGCAGGAGATTCAATTTTTATTTGGCTTCCACTGATAACCTTGAATTTTACCATGACTTTCAGTTCAGGTTCAAAATAATTTCCACGCTAAGGTAGGTCTCAAAGTAAAAATTTCTACTCTACTATTTCCACGATCAAAAAGAATTGGCGTTGATTTGACCTTTAATGCCATGGTCTAGATCAGTTTCAGGGTTAACACTGATTAGCCTGGACAAAATTCAATCCTCTACTCCCTTCAAGTCTCTCTTATGCTTAATATTTTTTCCTCAGAAGCATTCCTGAAATTTCATCAAACGAAGATGTTTTTGCAAGAATCTTAACCAGGATGCCCAAGGTCAAAATAATGTTTACTTAAGATCATGTCTGAAGGTGAAATTTTTCGCTCTGTGCATTGCCGAAGCAGAAAGTATAGGGTAAAGCCATCACAGCAAATAGCCAGAGGAAAATTGAAACTTCAGCTTCCTTTCTGTCCTCATGTGACTCTATTTTCAAAAGGATGCCTGATATCTGTTCAAATGAGGTTTTTTTTACTATAACGTTTACCATGAGATTCGAGGTCAAAATATTTTTCAACCAAGGTCATACCTGGATGTAAAATGTTATTTAAGGCAACAAAAGTAAGTCCCGTTTAAAAAAATCGTCTTGATCTCCAAGGTCATGATCAAGGTCAAATTCAAGGTCATCTCTGAATAGCCGTATAAGTTGGGTAATGCTTCTTTATCGGGATACAAAACCACAATAATATATATTATATATATATATATATATATATATATATATATGAAACGAACCACTTTTGAACTTTTCTTAGAATTAGTCAAGAAATCAGCGTTCTGAATTTTAGCCATGTGCTTTATTAACATCCTGTATAATCCATTTTTAGTCGATACATACATACACGATATTTTTAATACATGTATGTTTTACTTAATTTGTAAGCTATTTGAATGGTCAGTGATTGTCAGTATTTTTTACATAACACGTTAATTTTACTGGTCTCGAATAAATTATTTTATTATTTATTTAAAATTTACATCTGATGTATAGATATTTAAGCGATCCTATATATTGCGTATATTGCTTTGTTAATTTTTGCCATTAGCTTCTTCGTACACGAATTTAAGGTGTAGTCTCCCGATTTCAGTTTCAACTTGTACATAGACAGATAATCAAAAACCTATGCATCCGTGGATCCTATTTTATTTTATCTATTCATCCCAACCTACAACTCATTGAACAAAAATCTTTAGGTACCATATGGGAAACCTGAATCAAATTGTTGACTGCCAAACCATGGCAATATTCTGCATGGTTGGAAGATAAGCAGTACTGGTGTAAACACAACGAGAACTGTACTGAATTTACTACTTTCATTCAATACATGGATAAAGAACAACTGATTTATTCTGTTATGGATTAACGTATTCTACCTGAAGATTGTCAACCTAATGCTATATTCCCTCGTCTGAACAATTACCCGAGATGACATAACATACCGTCTATGAATATTTGTGACAACTATCTTTTTCCTTTCTGCAATAATTAGAAGACTACTTTGAGAAGGTTATTCTATCATAAATGGCGCTGTATCCAACTAAATATAAGCATTTAGTTGCAGCGCCATATACGAGACGCCAACCTTTTCAAATTATTGCGGAGAGGAGAAAGATAGCTGTGACAAATTTTTATGGGTATCTCATTTTATCTCGGCCAATTTATCGGACGCGCGAATAAAGGTTGGGCATCTTCAGGTATAATACGTTAATAAATAATTCCAACTTCAGACGGCGGCATAAATTGCATCTTCCTTAAAAGTACCATTCTCAAGTCTTCTTCCACTGGATGAATTCCTTCATCCTACACGTTACAAAGGTGGAGACTACACCTTACTTTGAAAAAATCTTGCTAGCAAGAAGCTATACCTATATAATTTGAACTGTAGTAATGCCAAATGTATCATATATATGTTACGATGTAGTAAACAAAAAACATGATGACTAGAACTTAGGTGTATTGTGAATGTACAAAGTGTAGTGCAACTTGAACAATATTACTATATTAATACATATACTAAGTTTACAACTGGCATCAGTTTACACCCAACAATGGTAGCACACAACCATCATCTAAGCGACTAAACTTCAAGAGCATTTTTTCAAAATGTGTTTAGTCAAAAAATTAATAAAAGCAGTCAGAAGGAGTCTCAATTTGACCGGGTTCTGACTGTAGAATCGTTCGACGCACGCACGTACAGTGGCTTGTGAAGAGGTCACCTCACCTATTTTTGATCGAGTCAAATTAGCAAGTTGAAATTCGGAATGATGAAAATGATTCACAAGTTTTCACGTAAAATTTGAAAACATCAAGATTTTTTCAGATGGAGGGGCCTATGATGCCTAATTTTGCAGCTCTATATCAGTACTTTGAAACCCTAGAGTATAAATTTACTATCTTCCAAAATAGCGGACTGGCAGACTATCAAGGATGCGTGTTACTGTACATTGGATCGCTTATAACTCAACAACTATCTGTCGCTTATAACTAACGATAAACACTCCAAAGTATGTTATGTTAATCATTTTCTTTCTATCTGGATGTACAATACATTATGAGTTGATCCGTGAGAAAATGGCCGGTTTTGACATTTTTTTAAATATAATGTTCCGTACCTTAATCCATATTTGGCTAGATCATTTCAAGAGAAAAGGATTAATATTACTTATAACATTCTGAAGATTTTTTATTGAGTTATAAATGTTGCAATGTACAAATACGCTAACTTTGACAGCCTCCTAGGCCGTCATTTTGAAGGATCGTAAATTCATTATTATGAGGTACCATTTAAAAAAACGATCAAAATTGACGCCCAGCCGACTTGACATTTTCAACTGCCACTTTTAGTCTAAAATATACTATATACAAGTATATATATATATAAAGAGAAAATGATCATGCGGAGAAAGGTATATAACGTTATTTTCCTTCTTTTTGTTATATATATATATATATATATATATATATATATATTTATATGAACCAATAACATCACCTCGAATTTCAAGAGACATGACCTGTTCAAAAAATAAATTCGGGGGGCCTTTTTGAACAGACGCTACACCTAAACGCAAACACCCTAAGGGAATACTGAACTTTATTCAAAAATGTTTATTAATTAACATTAAAACTGCTCTAGATTGTCGCTTGGTATAAATTTTACCGAAAAATGTACGGAAGTTTTCGAAAAATCACTTATTCGTTCGTTTTAGAAAATTTTCACGAAGCCAACAAAATATTTTTGTGATTTGTTTAGATAATAGGGATATGGAATAATGTACAAAATTTATATAAATCTTATAAATGTAGAAACAAAAATATACCTATTTAAATATTTTAAAAAAATATAAAACGCCTTCCCTGCCATTTATGGGTCTACCAGCGGTTTCTGCATTTTGCGAAGTGATATGTATAGTTTTCTAAAAAGTGGCCTTTGAGACAAAACTTTGATTCTTTTATGATGTTGATGCAATTTCGGAACTCTTTTTCGCTCGGGAATAGCTGAAAATGTTTACCAACAATTTCAGATAAACTACTCATGAAAATGTACAAAAGATGATGCTAGGATTTTTCTTTGAAATACTGATTCCTGATAATCGGCAGAGGGATTACGTAAAAAATCAATATTTCATTAAAAATCAGTATAATATCAAATTGTGTACTAAGTAATTGCTAGCCCATTCCGCGTCTTCCCGCTGTGAGCGCCACCTACGGAGTAATGGCTCAACGACCTTTCTGCGTATTATGCTGCAACTCACATTTCACCAGCTTACTTTGTTGGTTGCAGGCTGCCATGATAGTGTGTTAGCCTAGGCCATAGGAGCTATAAATGGCCTCCAATAGTGCTATCTCTGTAACAGATGTTACATTACATCAGAGCCAAAATATATAGCTCAAATGTCATGATATTTAGGCAACACGCACAACTTCTATAAGTGAACATAAAGTGAATTACAGTTTCAATGTGACATTAAAAATCGGTATAATATATGCCACTTTTCAAGTTACGTAATACGGGCGCGGTTCGATTTGCAAACTTTTCTGTAAGATTGACATATTTTCTCCAGATTTCTTTCGATACATGAAATGTATTCTTTTCCCTGAACAAAGTTTTTGTCTATTCCCGAGTATGTTTTTATTTCTGTTAGTAGATATTGTGTTTTGAGACTAGGCTTAAATGTGTTCAAAAAGAGTAGTAAGTGCCTTCCAAAAAATGACCACTTATGTCATCCAAAAAAATTAAAGATTAAGATGAACTAAATTTTTTAACAAAATTATCGTTTTGATGTGTTTTAGTATGGTATAACCCTGAATGGCATGTTCTTTTCATATCTATGTAAAGATTAACTTTATTATACATTATACAGCTAAGCGCGAAAACATGTGAATTTGGCAATTTTTATAGATCTGTACAGACTGTGGGTTTCACTTGTAACGCCCAAAATTACTAAGATTTCCCAAAATAAAAAAATCGGGAATTCATGTTGATCACATTTAGTTAACAGGAATGCAAAAAAGCATTTAACAAATTTCCAATTAAAAAAAACATAGCGACCCGACGTCTAAACTGTTGTAACCATTTGGCACTGGATTTTTTTAAACGTACAAATGAAGCTCAAAGTATAGATTTTGTAGCGGTAAAATGATCACCAAATCCAAGTTATCAGCTTTATTTTAAGGCAACAGTTACACGCAGAAAAAATTAAAAGTACACTAGTTATAATGAAATAAGTTTCAGATCCGTCAAATATACCACCTATTAAAAGATATTTCCGTTTGAAACACTTCGAGTCGGGAGAAGCGCATCTAATATTTATGTGTACGTTAAGAATAAACGAATGAACTAATATAGCCACAGGTAACATAGTTTTCTACTAACTTTATAGGTTTGTTGTGGTGCCACAGTGAAACGTCGCAGATTGGTGTATTTTTCGTTTTTTCTGTTTGTCGCAAAGTCTCCCTGATTGTATACTATAAATATAGTTGATGTTAGTTGAACTATAACATAGCTTAACAGAGTAAAGTTATGAATAGCCAGTTTAGTCGATACGCAGATTTATTATTATTCCCTGTTCAGAAATTGTGCTGCTACTAGTATAACCAGTCAGTTTGAAAAGCGATGGTAGCCTAGAAAATAATCTGATCTATTGAGAAAGAAAGTTGAAATGTAAAAAAATATGAGTTTAGAGTCAATTCTAGAGTTCTAAGGAACTCAGAACCAGTTTCATTATGACTAAAAAAGTTGCAGAAGTTTTGAATATCCAGCCTCTAATGCGGGATCTACTCGCTTGTCGAATCTCGGTAAGCCAAAATAAACTGAAATGTATCGATAGGCTCTTACTTCTTAATGAGTCGACCGTCAAGTCTGTCAGCATCACGTGCAAGCCACAATAAAGAGAGACTTAGAAATAAATGTGTACGCTTACTAATCGATACAGGAGGATGGTTATCGTCGTCGATTTTACAATCAACTGTCATAGCAAGTATCAAAATCTCCACTGACAGTGTTAGCCGTCAAAAGCCTTTGCCCCACATCCAGTGACCGGCACATGATTAAGACGTTTTATTTTGCACCAGCTGTGACTCGCGACTACGTGCGCTTGAAACTGTTACTAACGTATAATTTTAAAGTAATGTTATGAACTAAGGATCGCGTTTTGTACCTTTGATGTCATTAGTAAATTGACAGCCAACTTGCATGCTTGGGAATTTTTTTTACTTGATTGACGTGGTGACACCTACATTTTCCGCTGGTAAAACCGCGGGCAGAAAGAACACAGCTGATGTCAGGTATATTTTCTTTCTTAGAATACAATGACGTTATTCGTACTCGCAAACGTGTGGGTGGTATGCCAAGCGTATGGATCCAGCATGAATTTAAAAAACAAGATTATGCCATCAATATTTCAACTTTGTAGCCTAATAGTGTAGATTATTGCTAGGCTGATGAAAACCACCAGATGAAGCGGATATGGTCCGTTTTTTCTGATTTTCTTAAGCCTACCATTTTTCGTCTGTCAGTCATCCTCCATATTATGCTCCCATACCGTGGAGTAAGTTTTCCTGTTATTTTTGTACGTATACATAATGTATCTTTATTTATTCATGTCATTTTTTATTCCATAATGTTAATGCACATCATTATTTTATGTCTGTATGGTAAATTAAAATAAAATTTAAAAGTGAATAAAAAACCTTCTGTCATTTATGACCCAAACCTACCACAATATTGATATAGGCGGTTTCATCTTTGTTGGCACCAAGATGGTATTAAGTTTTGCTTGTTGACTAAGTAGGTTTGTGTGCAAATAATTCATTCCCCCCTTGCTAAAAGTGAGCATTAAGTGAACGACATCTAGTTCCAAGTTCACGTCTTTTAGGAAAACCTACATTTCATAAAAAACGTGGGAAAAATCCGACATACTGCCACCTTTCAAGTTACCCCTGATAAAAAGTCGCTTAAATGGGGGCAAAGTTACGCATTTAGGTAAGAAAATGGTGCTTAAATATCGCATTTCCGGAAATAGAAGAAACCGCATTTTCTCAATTCCCCGACTGTGAGATGGGATTTCAAAATTAAAAGTCATTGTCACTCTTTCTCCATCCATGTTATAGTCGAATAAACTGTTATTTTCAAAGCCAACTATGGCTTTAGTTTTTTCTAAATTATTCAGATTTTACAATGTCACTGTATGACATTACATTTTAAATCCAATATAGCGTTTATAAAAAAAAAAAGGTGTTGACACTGAAGACAATAGTCGAAACGTCATATTGCGAATTATAGCATAGCATCTTGTAGAAAAAAGGGGGCAATGTCAGTATACTTTTTATTTTAAATCCCATCTCAAATACAACCAAGAAAAAGAAAACGATTTTGAAAAAAATCGATTTCTTTCGTTTATCTCCGGAAATATTCGGAATTGTGAAACATTCTTTGCGACAGTTTCTTGGCCACCTTAACGCCCAACTGTGTCCCCATTTAAGCGACTTCGTATCCCGTACCGTTTTCAAGATCCCAATGGCTAGTCGAATTTGAAACACCCGCAATTTTAGAAGGGTTACAGTTTAAAACAATACCGTTTCGTTTTACTGAGTCCATCTACTGCACTATTTTTTTGTCATATTCCTAACCAGTTCAACTTATTTGAATTGCTTACATGAGCAAGATTTCAGATTTAAAGGCTTGTAATAAAAATTATTTCAGGTCAGAAAAAGAATATATTACCATATTAAATCAATAAAATGCGATTCATTATCAGCTACTGAAAATAAGAATGAAACAATACTGTTGCTTACAGTGTGCTTAATAAACACATGTGAATAAGCTAATACCTTAACGCGATGAGAAAAAAAATCACAAATACCTATTTAAAGACAATCTATTGTCTTGATTGCATGAAATTGATATTCATGCAGTATCGACAAGACAGTTTTTAGCTTCTGTGCTTCATTTAACATAAAAATGCTTGTTATGGAATTTCTAAATTAGTAGCTTAAACATGGTTCTTTAATGTTAAATTTTAGATATTTGTAATTATTTCTCCTCTTTTATTAAATAAAAAGAATATTCCAACTATAGCACAAGCAATATCGTCATTTCAAACAGCTACATTTTTGTTAAAATGGCAGTGTTCTCCTAAAATATACTCTACAGGCAGAGTCAAATCTCTAATTTTGTTATGGTCTTGAATAACTGTCTATTCTATGTACAATAAGGATTATATTTTTTTAAAAAATAATAAATTCTTCGGAAATAAAAATGGTAGAAAATAACATTTTGTGTTATAACTTATGGTAACTTGATCTGATTCTGCCTGTAAATGACAATAATTTACCTATGTTGTGTGATTGTAACCGCATAATTTTCCTATAATAACTCACTGAAAATATTGAAATATTGCTAAATTATTTTTATACTACAAAATTTTTCCTTACATACTAGGTCAACAATAAATACATTCAACTATGTACACATAAATCGTTAAAATTTGATGAGTATGTTATATTGAATTTAAAACAATATAAACATGATAATTAAATTACAGGTCTCAACACAAAATAATCGCCATAAAAGCAGGCAAAACAGGTATACCTATAATAGCGGGATATAATCTCAGATCTGGCTAAACATATATTTAGAGCACTGTGTACTATTAACAAAAATTAGAGAAATTGAATGAATATTTTTACTTTTTTTATTAAAGCGATCTGCTAATTGGGATATTTAATGTCTTACTCAGATAGGCCCAGAAAGTCTTATGCTCGATTGCAGCGCCTTTCTCAAATCTACCTCTTAATAAAGGTGAACCGCAGCACGGCTATTATGTAAAAAACGTAAAAAACGACAAAATGTCACCTTGCAGACTATGTCGTTTTTAGGGTGCAAATAGTTGATTCCACGTTTGCTCGCTATGATCGCTGTGAGCGTCCATCTATGGAGGAATCACTCAATTTCACGCAATGTTGATTGCAAAAAGCAATTATGTTTTTTGAAGACGAGTATTCGGTAGTCCTTATCTCTGAGAAGATGTGAAAGAAAGAAAGTTGGTTTACTGGGCACGATCCCTTCTGGATGGGATTGTGTGTATAGGTTTGCATGTATATAAAATCAGTGATATTTCCTATGTGAGAAAATTATTGCTGAATATGCTGCCAATGAAGTATATATATTAGCTGTGCCCGACGGGTAATTTCCAGAATGAATAAGAAAAAGTGGATGCGCAACTAATTTCTGGCTTTGAATCTCAAGTAAGTGTACTTGAGACATGCAACCAATGGAATTTTCATCAACACATATTAGCGCACAAATCCTCACTATGCATCTATGCACTGCCGTTTCCTTCCAGCTATACAACTTGCAGCTTGGACCTCCAATAATGCCATCTCTGAAGCAGATGTTACATCACATCAGAACCAAACTTTGATAACTGAAGCATCATGACGTTCAGGCAACACGAACAACTACAACACGAGTTCACAATGTGTCCATCAGCAAGTTAACATTTTGTAGAAAAACCTTATGTTACGTCACAAGAAACCTACATGTCAAAAAAAAAACGACAAAATGTCACTTTTCAATATACGTAATACCACTGCTGAATGTTAAGGCCAACCCCAAATTGAGTTTTTGTTTATCCACTCCGGTTTGGTGAAAACTTAGCTAAGGTCTGACGAGTGTTGTACTGTAGAACTTTAAAAAAAATACGTTTGCAACTACAAATCAGTTGGTTAAATTGGTCGTCTATTTTCTTTCACACCAAACTTATACATTTAAATAAAGTGGCAAACCCAGTGATCCAATCACATGTGATTGAATTAAGTGAAAGTAATGTCTTCGTTGTAGCATTATTATACTTGTTGCTGTAAACTCAATATCAATCATCTGATACGTCCTTTGGATTGTCCTCATCAGTTTGAAAACATTCCGAAGTATTATCATCCCTGACATCATTCGAACAATTTGGTGAAATGCATTACACTTCATGGCCAAACTTTGTTGTTGTTTCTGATGAGTAGCTACAAAATATAATCACCAAGTGGGTTTTTTGGATCAATGAAGGACTTACCATATCTACCAACGAATTCAAATTAGGTAGAAGGAGCAAGTGTACCATCAGTTTGTAACCAAAATTGCGTAATCAGTGGTCAAGATCATGCTACAAGTCGATCGGACTTGAACCCGTAGTTTGGAAGTTGCTGGAATTTCGCATTGAATTCGTACTTTTCTGCGCATCCATATATAAAAGTGCAGTTTCCGAAAATGTTGAAGGTTCCTGTGGATTGCAAAGGGCAGTTCGAACTGAATAAGAGCAAATCTGTTCATCGGCGTTGTGAAAGAGCATGTACCTCAAGATTTGGCTTTTACCTTTAACAGTTTGTGTAATATTGATTCATTTGACTTCACTTCTTATTTTATTGAGCGCTCAGTCCCAATCTAAGGTTTGTTAGCAACAACAACACTGAAAAGTGGAAAAAAGTCAAACCAAATTTTTTGGACACGAAAAGGGCGACCCACAACTTTGCTAAACTAAAATTTAACTTTATCTACTTCAATTTTGAATCTGAATTTTTAGGAAATGTACTTTCGCGTTATATGCAGTAATTTTAGGTTTAGTTTTAGTGCCACGAGATTCTATGTCGGAGGATCATTAGACCCAAAAAAATTATGAATATCAAATTGATTAAAATACTTCCATATCAATTTTATTGGATAAATATAGTAGCAATGAAAAACAGAGCAGAATTCATGCAATGTGTCCCACTATGCTATTTGCAAATCAGGTATTCCGCGATTGTTGCTATCTGATGGAATGTTTCGTATTGTTCACCTTCCAAAATCACGAATTAAAAAGAATTGTTCATATACCGTACTGTTAATTAATATTTACTTTCGTTTCTTTGCTAAACAATTTTGGACCGGAAGGGTTCAAAATATACAATAGCTTCACTATCGCTGATGGAGAAAAAGATAAACTTGAGCCACTGGCGGTGCAACTGGGTGTTATACGGAAAATGATCGATGAACACTTCTCAGGTTAAGGAGAGGGTTGCTAAATAAACCACGTTTACACAAATTTTATAACAAAAGTTAGGTCTCATGCCAATGGGTGAAACATGTCGTGTCGTATTCTTCAGATTTTGATATATATAATGCTCAAGGTATTCAATGAACATAAAGCCGATGTTTTGACATTCAAATCACTATATATAGAGATTAGCAGTCAGCTGCAGCCACAATCGATATATTTATTAACTGGATGTCTGATAAACATGCTACTATTCGAAATAGAACAGACACTGTTGTTGGGCGTTCTAGAAGTAGTCTTTTTGAATTCACTAATTCACTATCATTTACGGAAAAATTATCAATCATATACAGGGTGATTTACAAGTCTTGACCAAATATGAAACATCATATACAGGACCGCATTTTAAGAGGGGGTCTTCTATGTAACATGTTTTCCTCGAGGGCTTCATTAAAAAGATACGAGGCGTTGAAGTTTAAGAATAAAAAACAATTTTTTTCAATATCTTCAAAACCGTCAACTGGAAATGTGGTATGTGGATTTACCTAACCACGTTCAAAAGTCTTTACTTAAAATTACAGTGCACCAGTGGCGGAGATACAGAGGATTAGTGACATTATTTTTCCAAATAAAAATGGTACGCCATTTCTTACCATCAATTTGCTACAAATAATTACTCTTGTATTTTTTCCATAGAGTGCAGTGTTTTCGTAAAAATAAAACAAATTAGATCATTCATCAAGAACCGAGGTACAATTAGTTTCAAAATAAAATAGGAGGCCTTGATACCAACTTGACGTTTCTTGGGAGAGAGTTTGTCAAAGTTATGTGTTATATGGTTGCTATCGTTACGACTACCATTTTTTTTTGTAAAAGTGAAATCAAAAGGTTTCTTTTTTCCATTTTTAAGTGTTGTGAAATGGAATTTAGTAATGATGAGTACGCCGATATTATTTTTGTGTACGGATTCTGTAATGAAAATGCTTTAGCGGCTTCTCGGGAGTATCAACGAAGATTTGATAACGACGCCAACCTAGGCCAAAGATTTTTACGCGATCATTTCTAAGACTTCGGCACTATGGAATTGCCAAACTTCCCGGAGTTAAAAGCCATGGTATCCGGCATACCTCAAGAGGAACTGGAAGTGATTACCATGTTACCATGTTCCCAAAGTCTTGCGTGGAGAATTTTAAATCGGGAAGCTTTACATCCTTACCATCGGCAAAATGTGCAATACTTGCAAAACGGTGACGAAGTGCAACGGCGAAATTTTTGTGAGTGGTTACTGCGAATGCATGCTTAGTTTTTCTAGAGAATTACACAGGAAATGTGTTAGATGATGTTCTGTTAGCAACGAGAGTAGGAATGTGGTATCGGCACGACGGTGCCCCACCGAATGTTCGTCGTGACTGCATGGTTAAATAATCATTTTAGACAACTATGGATTGGCAGAAACGGACCCATACATTGGCCTGCGAGGCCTCCTGCTTTAAGCCCGCTGGATTTCTTTTTGTGGGGCGCTTTTAAACAACTAGTGCATGCTGAACAAATTAAGATGTACTGTTGATCAGTTACAAGAAAGAATAGATAATGCGTTTTATCAAATTCAAGCCACAACAAATTTTTGCGGAAATACGTTTTTCTTTATTAAAAAGATGCCGCACTTGTATCCATCAGAATGGTGATCTTTTTGAACGTTTATTGAAATAAAGGTTTGATTATCTAATTTGGTTTTTTTTTATTTTTACGAAAACAATGCACTCTAGGAAAAAACACAAGAGTAATTATTTGTAGCAAATTGAAAGTAAAATTCGAAAAATTGCGCGTTTCGAAAAAAAACAGTGGCGTACTATTTTTATTTGGAAAAATAATGCCACTAATTCCCTGTTTCTCCGCCACTGGTGCACGTGAATTTCAAGTAAAGACTTTTGAATGTGGAAAATACTTAGGTAAAACAACATACCAAATTTTAGTTCATCCCAGTTAACAGGTTTGAAGATTTTTTTTTATTTTAATGAATAAAATAATCTTTTTAATGAAGCGCTCAAGGAAAAAATGTTACCTAGTAGACCTCCCTTAAAATCCGGTCCTGTGTATGATGTTTCATTTTTGGTCACGACTTGAGAATCACCCTTGTCGTCTTCTGTCATGTATCGATTCGAATTCAGACTAGGTAGAAGAAGCCAGTCAAGGATTTATTTTAGTTTACAAAATCCACTTTGAGCAGAGAAATATACTCAATAGGTGAAAGATGTTTTGTCTTAATCTTCAAATTTTAAGATTATGATGCTTAAGGTGTTCGCTGATGCACTCTACTTATAAAGCCGATGTTTTGACATTTAAATCACTATAATAGAGATTATATAGATTCTTTCGAAATCAAAACGTCGGAAGCTGCAGCCAAAATCTATATATTTCTTAACTAGGTGTCTGAAAAATTGGATCGACTAAGTTAGAATCAAGCTTTAACAGCAAATCCAATTTAGCATTTCCGCGAATTTCAGGATCGGATGAAACTAGTATCCTAATCAAGTTGCTCGTTTGCGTGCTGTTGAATTTGAACCGTCGGCTTAATATCATTCTGCGGGTTCCCAATTTCCCTAATGCTGACATTAGTTGTTTGTCAGCTGGCGGATCGATCCATAGACCGTCGGTAGGCGAATCAATCTGAGCTTTTACCTTGCCAAATTTTAGACAAAAGCTGCCTAAAGTCTCCTCTACAATTGATTCCATCACTGAGACATATATCGTTCGTCTGAGGACACTTATTTTAGACCTGTCTTTAGTCTTGTCTGGCGTCCATGCTTCGACCATCCTATACATGTTGGTGCCTAGGATTGCCAATTGATTGTCAGGTAGTATTCGTTCCACCTTGTCAATTAGACTTTGCAGTCTCTTCTGATGATACGACATCTTTTGTTCCCATTCTCGCATATCTTATATGTTTGAGAATATGGGTGCATGATACTCTTTTCCGTCCAGCGCTGGTGAACACATATGTTTCACTATTGCTGTCTCTGCTCCGAGAGCTTCTTGCTACTATTCGGACATTTGGAGATTTTAGGTGAACTCGTTTTGAATTCACAATAAATTACGGAAAAATGATCAATTACTTATTGTTGTCGTCTTGTGTCATGTGCCGATTGGCAAGTAATAGAATGGCATATTATAATTGTACATATCTTTGACACTCCAATCCATTTTGCGACATATCTTGTTTTACACGAGCTTCTTGCCATTTTTACGATTGATTCGGCCAACGAATTCAGACTAGGTAGAAGATTCCAGTCAGAGATTTGTTTGTCTCCTAATTCTCATAATCTGTAGTGGGGATCCAAGTCAATTTTTGGTACAGTCATTAAATACATATTTCTCAAAAGCGCGAATATTTACAGATAATCAAAGCGTTAGACGATTTCAATACATGGTAATTCTTACATAATTTGCAAACAGCTTCACAAGCCTAATGAAGGTACATATTTTCTCGGGTAAGTATTATTATTGTGTTGATTCGACGATCTCACTTTCGTACATATTGGTAGATAAATGAGTCAAAGGTACGCTCTAAAACTACGCAATTTTGGTGTAAACAATGCAATGTAAATGTATAGACTTGGCTACAATCTATTCGAAGTCGTTGGATACGACAGTCATTCACTTCACTACAATTCCGCATGCAGAGCCGTGAAACTAATATTATCAAAATGTGAACTGTGACTTTTGGCAAGGTGTTTTGTTCTCGTACTACTGTGGTGTCACAGGATTTTCCGCGCGACAGAACGTTTGTGTATTACTAAATGTGTCTGTTGGTTTCGACGTCAATTGTTGATATAACAATTCTCCTATAATACAAAAATTGAGGATAGTTACTAGAAAAATCGTTTATTGCACCCAACTTGCTGGCACCCACAGAGGTTCCGTTTCCAGACGATTCGCAGCAGCGAGAAGCTGACTGAAGGCCGATGCTAAATCGGCGTTCACTATAGTCTCGTCGAAGAAATGATCGTACAGGAATTCGATTTTGACCGCTGATTTTAATATGTCTTCAAACTCCTCTTCCTAAAATAAAATAACCGATTCAGTCTATAGAACTTCAAGATCATCTCAAGGCTACTTTGGGTGGAACGGCGTTTGAAGGTTGACAGGCAAGTGAAATACCGTGTATTTTTATCAGAAAGAAGCGAAGATTTTTACGTTCGTAAGTCGTACTTTAACATGAAATTTGCTTTCGTTTTAAAAGTCAATATCTACACGAATAGGATAACTTTCAAATGGAACCCAAAATCAAGTTTCAGGTCATTACCAGATATTCCGAGACATTATAATATATAACTACATAACTTCTCAGTTCATTTCCAACTGGCAGGGAAATATTGTAATCGCGAAAATCTTCGATAATGATATACGTATTATGTTTTTTCGATTTTATATGACATGTCATTACGAAAGACCATGTCACTCATTTTCGTCGGTCTGCTGTCTGTCATTCCGCCCGCTAATCTTATAACCGCCTATAACTTGATGACATTTTCACACTTGCCACTACTGTGCCAAAGATGAAAGAGCTTAGTTTTTGAAAGTCGATAAAGTTGCGAGCGAGCTAGGGGCATAAACATGAAATAAATAAAAAACTTCGTTTTTTGGCGTTTCAGAACCTCCTGATCATCTTCGGAAAACTTCTTGTAGGGGTTGAAACTTTGGAGTTGGGGGTTGTAGGGGTAGGGACTGCAAATGTTTCGTCTTTAGGATTAATCAACGACTAATTAAGAAGCTTCTGATCCCGGTAACAACGGGAAAATTAAATAATAAAAGTCCGATGCCAATTGCCGCCTGTGCAATGGGTAGCAACCTTCAACTGGTGAATCTGCGGTGGTGTCGTCACTGGTACACCGCATACAGGAGAACATTTATACGGTGAGGTTCAAAAGTAGCTAACGTCTTAATGTGTAACAGAGAAAAGATCGAGAAGCATGCAATATGTGTCAGAAAGAGTGCGCCGATAGCGTACTCGGGTTGCTAGGCAACACACGTGAAACTTCTCTCTCGTATCAATTACGACGTCAGTGGTATTTTGTTTGCAGTGTATATGTTAGCACTTCAGAGTTATCCGATACTTTTGTCAATAATATCGCGAGTTTAATACTTGTTGTTGAGAATGTCGTAGATTTTGACAATTGATTCAGAGGCGGCGGAATTACGCACAAAAAAGAAAATTACTGGCACTCAGCGTCACAACGTTTCATAGATTCCTGCTCATTTTCAGACATTGTCTGGGAGAGATCAACATTCTAGGTTGGACTCATCTCTTTTCTTTGAAACCTCCAACGAAGATGTAGGAAGTATAGAGTCAATATATTTGACGCCATATTTCATTGAGAATAATATATCTCAAGTTAGCACAAGTTTTTTATATTTACCGTAAATCCTCTAGAACTGTTGGCATCAAACGTCGACCTAGCATGCATGGCACCTCTCGTTTCCTTCAAGGCCTCCAAACTCGGTGGCTTGATGTACACTATGTATGGCTTGAGTTGCGGCGTCCTCAACATTTTTAGTGCTTGAAAATGCGGATTCAATATACACACCTACAAAAAGAATATGAATGAAAAATATCTATAAGTCGGGTACCAGTACAACATCCAATGAGTTTTTATTTTTAACCCCCGACCACAGAAGGATTTTATAAGTTTGAGTGTATGTGACTGTTCGTGGCAATGTAGCTCCAAAACGGATGAATCGATTTTGATTTTTTTATTGTCTAAACAGTATCTTAATCAGAAGGCTTTGATGGAAGATATGTCCGGTCATATGAAGCAGTTTTTTTCAATTTCCAATTTATATTCGTTCACCTTTCCTGAATTAACAATTTCCTTGACACTATCAGCAGAAGTGCCATATAGGTTTCCTTTATATTCGCCAAATTCAATAAATTTTCCAGCTTCAATATCTTCCTCCATCTTTTCTCTTGGTATAAAATAATACTCTTTGCCATTTTCTTCACCAGGCCTCATAGGTCTCGTAGTATCTAAAAACAAAAATATCGATAGTCCCTACTAATATCATATCCCTACTAATATTATAAATGAGAAAGTGTGGATGTTTTTTATTCAATCACGACAAAATGGAGGAACTGATCTGGATGAAATTTGGTTCAGAGATTATAGCTTGGAAACAGGTTACCTTTTATCCCGCGAAATAACTTTGAAGTATCTATTTGACAGGCTACAGCCCAAACGGATTAATGAAACTTGACATGAGGTATCTGGTGCGGAAGCGCTCAGTCGCTAGTCCGGCCGAAATGACTAAGGATATTTATATAGGGCATTTGTATCCTGCATTTCGACATTCGTTTTCTTATAGTGGTCATCTTGCTTTAGATTTGTTTGGTGTTTTGTTTTACTGCAAGTACAGTACTGTGAATAAATAGTTATTGATTTATTTGTCATACAACCTATAATGCTGCTAGGCGTGTAATGTACTTTTATCTGATATCTAGCTTACTCTAACGCTACGTTGTTCAGTATCTCCTCAATATGATATGATTGTCTATCCGGTCTGTCAGCAACACGTTTGAACAACAATAAAGAGAGCCGTGCAACGCTGTCATCCGTTCATAAAGTATTATGTTCGGCACACGTTAGTCCAGCTGAGCTAGCTGCAAGCATGTTTAACAAAGAAATTAAATGAATCAAGTCAGCGAAACAGGCCGATAGAATTAGTCCATACTCTATAGTCCACACCAATTTGATAACGCTAGTTTCATTCCTGTCCTAAGTACCGACCATCTGGTAACGGCGCTAAACCACACCAGTCCACCATGCCATAAGGACCAGCCACGATACTATAACTCGAGGTCGATAACGCCGCCCATGCAGTCAGACGCATACAGAGTTTAGCGCATGAAGGTTGGCAACGTCTCGACCGACCGCGTGTCGCGACTGAAGTTTTAAGGGCTAATGTATGGGGAAATCTGTTGTGTGAATACGTACTAGTAAGTGCGTAAAATTACCAGGGTTTAAAAGGTATAAATCTACTACCATCAAAAAAACATAGATATACTCTCCGCAGCCCCGACAACCCCCAATTTTCGATTTGTATGATGAAAATAATTAGGAGGATCTGAAACGTCTAAAAACGAAGTTTTGATAATTTTTTTTTTTTTTTCGTTTTTTATCGCGGCCGCCACTGCGTCGATTTTCAAAAACTACAAAGCTTTTTCGTCCTTGGCATAGTAGTTATCCCGTGTGAAAATTTCATCAAAATCCAAGCGGTACTTTCCAAGTTTTAGACGGGCCAATGATTAGTGTACAGACAGACCGACAGAAATGAGTGACATGATTTTTCGTAATGTAAAACAAAATTCCTCATTTTCGAAATTTCTCGCGACTACAATACTTCCTCGCCAGTAGGCATGGAAAGATCTCACAAGCCAATGGATTATTACCATTGCGAGCATCCACGCGGCCATGAAGAAACCATGTCTGAGACAAATACAAACCTTTCCTCGGCAAAAATTGACCATTTACCATCGTACTTTACATGAAAGATAAGTAGTACATTTGTAGAATTCTGATGCGTCCCTCCGTCGTAAAAAGATATAAACTTAAATTGCTGGGTTTCTGAATCACGCTTGCGCTACATAAAATCTCTAGATCTAGCTTTAGCATTACTGAAGAAATTCGTAAGAATTGCAAGAAACTTACATGGTGTTGGAGTTCTGTATTTGTCCGGATCAGTATCAATTAATCTTCTTTTCAGCTCGTTCCTGCCAACCCCAGGAGCTCCTATAAGTACAATAGGTCTATAGATGCCAGGTCGGGGATACAGCTTGGCTACTTCTTCATATGTTGCAATTTGTTCCCTATCGAAATCGTCGCACTCTGCCAAGTCGTAGATGATCTTTTTGATCTTGTTGCCTCCTGGAGTTACTACACATGATGATGAAGCCGACACTGAAGAACACAAAGCTGGAAAGAATAGATATATCAACAGTTTAAAAAAATGTTTATGATCGTTAAAAGTAATAAGATAGTGTTCATATAGAAGAAAAGTTTCAACTGGTCCTAATGCATCGTTACTAATTATTTACACAACGGATAATAAAGAATTGAACATTTTTTTTAGAAAGCCTTCAAAGCACTCTTCTCATATAGAGCATCCCGGCGACAACTCGACTTCAATCCGATTTCGTCTCCTTTTGAGCTTATGAAAAAAGCTAGTATGTACTATAGTATCATTGATTAGCCTATTCAACATGAAGGTAGCCAACAATGCATTATACGAGATAAAATGAAATACCCTGGCGTCATCTATGAGAATTTGTCATAGCTATGTTTCTCCTCTCAGCACTCATTATAAACCTACTTTGAAAGGGTTAGGGACTCATAGATGGCGTTGTAGTCAACTATAGATTCACATATATGCTCGTACATACATGGCTGGCTATAATCAAGTAGAATATGTTGATCAATAACTTACTGGTAAGAATGTGTAACATAAATAACCTGTTTTTTTATTTTTTTTTCCTAAAGACACTGACTAAAAGAAAAGTGTATACATACATAACATATTTCATAAATAAAAATCAATGAACATTTACCAAAAGCTCCCAAAACATAAAAAAAATTAATGTGCAATAAACGATCAGGCGAAAGGAACACTTTGTATGCACCCGTACTTCTTAAGACTGATGATCACTCGTAACTTGTTTATTACAATTCTTGCATCAACTGTAACTCTCTTGCAAGGTTTTCAAAGCTGATGCTCCAAATGTATAACTTCAAAGAACATAGAAATATGATGGAGACTCCGAGTTGCTTTGGTGAGAACATTGACTGAGTTTTGTTGTATTCAAAATTTGTCTTACCCTCTTCGCCATTTTTGCCCATTTGTTCCCTTTCATATACGATACGTCTTTCTTGCAATGCTCTGCTCGGTATCAAGCCAGCCCTCATATTCCTATCACCTTCTTTCCTAGCTTGCCACCTATAAAATGTTATTATTAACAAAATTCTAATCAGATTCAAAGGAGGCGACATGCCATAACAATCTGAATAGTCAAAGCTCTATTGTTAAAAGAACATTAAAACTTTTGTAGACAGAACCTACATTCGGGTCCCCGTGGGTCGTGGCAGCAAGTCCACATCGGATTCGGAATCCATGCACCCGATGTACTCAGCAGACGAGATGTCGTCAAAGACGAGAGACGCGGAGGTTCTTGGAAATATTCTCATAGAACAATTCAAAGCACTATAGGTCTTTGTGAGGCAGATTTTCCGTTTTTGTTGACCGTACGTACAAATGCATGAAGCTTTGCAATTTGGAAACCTGGATGCGAATATGAACATAAAACAATTGTGAAGTCTCATCTGGGCGAATTTGAGGGACAAAGTGGGCCATTTGGGACCCGTGTATCCTAGCCCCAAAATGGATTCTGAATCGGAATCCACTCTATTTACCGAGAAAACGAGATTTCGTCGAGATCATAGAGAGGCGGTAGTATTTAATTTTCTCACAGGAAACTTCAGAAGATGTTATCTGTATATTACTCAGCCTTTGTCGTCACCTACATGCCTGGCAAAATGGTCAGCAGTGAGCCTCTCGCCAAACATCAATTCCAGCTGTTTTTAATAGTATTAGAGTAGATGATTAGGGGTATCCTCCTCTTCGTTGCAATATAAGCAGTTCGTGTATTCTCTATTTCCTATCCATTTTAAGGAGTCAACAAAACAATCATACCTTATGATAAACTCTGTATAGTAATCTACGCGGATCCTCCCTCTCTTTTCAATCCAAGTTTTAATATCTGGGAACAACCTTTCAGTCCATGCACATGACCAGTTGCATCCCATCTCTCTAGCCATTTAACAAAAATGTCTCTCTTTTAAAGAGGTTTGACATTAAAAACTGTTTGTAGAGTATTAGGACGGTAATCCTATTTCAACATAACGTTATTTGAAAAACATTTATGTTTTGCCCTTATTCAGTTTCATCAGGGCCGTAGAAATTGCAACTCTCTGTATATTGGTAACGGAACAGTTCAGAACTTAACTTTTTTCATTATAATTGCCTACCGCAAATTCACAGAGTTTCATCTAATTCAGTCAAGTAATTTAAGATAAATAAAAAATATCAGTGTTAGCAAAAATGAACTTGCAGTATGCATCTCAGGAAGGAAGCTGTAAAATACATAAGCTCAAAAGAAAGCTTCAAACAAAAGGTGGCCTTGACAATGACTTTGACTACATCCTTTAAGGTTTTTTAAGGTCAAGTGAATAGTTTCAAATTCTTATTCACATCGGAATTAAAAAGTAGGAGCAAATTTTACGTTCAAACATCACCTTGACGATGACCTTGACAACTTCCTTCAAGGCCATTTCAAGGTTAAATCAAGACATCGAAAACAATGTCTCTCTCTAACAAAAAAGTTCCATAGCACAGTTGCGAGGTTGGTAGAGATCACCCAAAGGTGACCTTCAAAGTCAGGTCAAAATTTTCAAAGGAAACTTCTCATTTTTATACTGGAAATGGAAAAATCGGGAAATTTTACGTCCAAATGTGACCTTGACCTCATAACATTTAAGCTTAACGCGACCTTGACTTTGAGATCAACTTCACATTCGAACGTGATTTTTTTCCTAGTCAGCAGTTTTTGAAATATTTAGGTGGGGAGATTGAAAATGAGCTACCGTCTATACACACAGCGAGATTCGAATTTGACTGAGGTTTGAGTTCAATGTGTATGAGAGATGGACGCGAGAAGCATGTAGAAACACATATGTTAGAATGAGATAGAAGCCGGCTGACTAGCGAAGCTTATCACCACGTTGCCTAGCAACGCAGATGCGGAAGAGCGCGGGAATCTGCCGCGTTGCCAATATATTACACCAGTTTCTTGAATTATGATGCCGAGTGAGAAAGAGAATGCTAACAAATTCTGCAACATTGCATCATTGGTTAGCTTGATAACACCGCATCTCGTAAATTCCAAGTGAATGTCTCCATACTTTCATGATTGTCCAGTACTATTAGCGTTCCTTTTCTTTTCCAACAACTAGTTGAACACCTGTATGTAAACCAGTTTCGTTAACGACTTCACAACAAACACTGGATTTCATATTTTCCTTCATGACTGCCTAAATAAGGGGTTTTGCAATGAGGATGCGTTGATGTTGAAATGTGTCGAGACGTTCGGTATGATGATTTTTATTTGAAATTCTATTGTATGATAATTGGTCATTTGTTCACCATGGGTTCAGTCAGTGGCACGGATTCAAAGTTTAGTAACCCCACTGCGTGTCACCAACATAGTTTCAGAAAAATTAAAGAAAAAGAATATGCCTCTATACTTCCCACGCCTTTAAAATGGCTTCTAGAACAATTTTCAGAGGTACATCTCATGTATGAAAATGGATCCGGATGTAAAACCTCAAGCTCGACGCGAATCTGCTGTAAAAAATGGTGGTTGATATTTGAATTCACCAACTTGACCCCCAAATAACCTCTGGAGTCATTCTCTATGTCATCGTTGAGGTCATTGACAAGTTGCTATTAGGATATCCTAAAAGTATTACAAAAATTTGTGGTTGCCGCGTTTTCGGGATGTCCACCTACAAGGTGTCCGGCTATAAACCCCCCTCTAACCTTGTTACATGACCTTCCAGAAGAAAAAGTTGTATATTAAAAATATAGGGTCTAATATGAACTTTCCCATTTATTTATTTTTTTTGTATACATGTGCTACTGAATAAGGTTGTATCTTTTAAATAGAACGTCCTGTAGATTTTCGGGTAAAAATGATAATCCCTTTTTTCTGTTCCAAAATATATATGGTTTATCATACTTATTTTCATTAGTTTGGCCAAAAACTTGAAGTTTGTGTGTCATATACTTATGTGCATCCAAGTTCGAACCAGTTTGCATCTAGCTGCCTCGACAATCTGGTATAGGGCCGGGATACAGATGATTAAGGGACGTATCGTCAGTCTGTCCTACAAATGTATGACCTCCTTGATTTTCATAGTATTCAACTGTTCCGTGTCAGCGTTCTATTTTGATATTATGTTACATACATATATAATATATTATATTTGCATCAAATTGTCCATGCCTTTGATTTATATCAACTTTTATACAGCCTGAACGTTGTTAGACGACAATGACCACGTCTCAAGTTATATATATACAGGGTGACTTCGAAGTTGAGTCATTTATTTTAACAGTGAGTAGATCTGATCAAAAGAAATGCTTTTTTCCGTTAACATTTTTCTGGTAAAATTAAAGTAACAAAGTTATAGCCCTTTAGAAGTTTGAGTACCGCCCTGTCTCAATAATAATATTATGTGCTCGTGTTTGGCAACAACGGATATAATCCGCCTTATCCGTTCATCGGAAACAAAAAAGCGAAAAATTTGAAACGATGTTTTTACTACAATGTACAATTTTATTCAGTTGTTTTCCGTCAATGTGTCAGTCGGTAAGGCGTGAGTGAATAGTGGTGTTTGTTGCGTGGCTTAAACGAAATAAAAAATGCACATGTTTACGGTCTTTATGCGGATCGGTTTCCCAATCGAGTGCAACCAACCCCACAGGGGAGGGCATGCCGGTGCTCCAAGACCGCACGATCAAATACCCGTCCGCACTGAAATACTTGTCGGGAGGATACTTTATAAAACAAGGTAACATTTTTTTTAATTTTTATTTTTATTTTTACACACATATTTTGATTTATCATCCTTCTACAATCATTATCTGAAAATTTATGACTCAACTTTAAAGTCACCCTGTATAGGGTGGGCATCGCAAACGAAACGGACGCATTTACTGGCAGCTCAGTTTTTTTTTTTTTTGAAAAACGCTCAGACCCGTCGATTTTGTTTTCGAGGGGGACACAAGTTTGGCAAAAAATCACGTTAGCACGTGCAGCCCCCTAAGCGGGGGTGACACCACCCCTAAAATCTTAAATGGAAACGGGGGTCGAGTGATACCTTATTTTAAAGGTCCTTCAATTGATATAAAATTAATGTACTCCAGTGCAGTAGTTTTGAAGATTTATTGATTTAAAGCTTAAATAAAACTATTACATCATCATTAGTGAAGATCAATACATTTGGCAGCAAAGTAATTTAAAAATGAAGAATGAACTGACCCGTTAGGCAAGTAAATGTTGAAAATGGCCACCATGACTCTCCATGCAATAATAAAGATTTTGCTCAAAACGTTGCCGCACATTTTGCAACATTTGAGGAGTAATTTGAAGGCACTCATTCACAATTCTTTGTCACAGGTCTTCTAATGATGTTGGCTGATTAGCATAGATTTTGCTTTTAAAATGACCCCACATAAAGAAATCCAAAGGTGATCTTCTACCAATATATCGATCTGCAAACGTCTGATCTAAATATTGTCCAACACGTGATGCGTAATGTGATGGGACACCATCCTGTTGGAACATCAACCTATTCGCAATGCATTCTGATTTTCAATTATGGCTGTTAATGCAGGATCTATGGCGTCTTCCAGTAATTCCAAATACATTTCACGGGTCAAATTTCCAGGTAAGAAACAAGGACCAACTAAATGATCGCCAAAAATACCAGCCCAAACATTTAATTTTTGTGGCTGCTGTGTGTGAGCCTCATGATAAATTCTGGGATTACAATCGGACCAATATCGGCAGTTATGACGATTTACTACGCCATTTAAGAAAAAGGAACATTCGTCGAAAAAGCAAGTGTTGAAAAGAAAATGTTCATCGTTTATAATTCGTTCACTCATATATTCACAAAATTGTAATCGCCGATCAAAATCGTCTTCATTAAGTTCTTGTACCAGGTGAATTTTATACGGATGAAAACTACGGGCCTTTAGAATCCATTGGACAGTACGTCGACTAACACCACACACAGTCTCCAATTTGCGGGTACTTAACGTAGGATCTACATAAACTTGCCCTAAAACCCCCACTTCTATTGCTTCGTTCCTTATGGGATTTTCAATGTTGCGTTTTTTATTGGCGACTGACCCAGTTTCCCGAAATTTAGATACAAGTTCTAGAACATATTTTCGATGCACGTTAATGTTCTCATGTCGCTCATTAAATATATCTGCTGTTCTATTAGCGCATTTCCGAAAAATATTTCGATAATTTCAACTCTTTCTGCTGTGGAATATACCATGGTTAATTCATGTAGTAAAGCGTTACAAGTTATTTTAGCAACAAAGTTTAGTCAAATCAATCGCAAACTATGTACTAAATTCCTATTTAAAATAAGTACGAGATATTTCCTTATCTTTCTTCAAGGAATAACTTTTTTGCCACAAAAAACGCTCCAATAGCTATTTTCAAACACAAAATGATAAACAAACCATGGGCGTAGTGAAGAAAAGCATTTACTTATTAAGTAAATTCTTTTAGTCAAATTTCTTCTGAAAGTAGTACAAACTTATTCTGATGTACCTATTAAAGTCTACTTTAAGCTTAAAATCAATGAATCTTCAAAACTACTGAACTGAAGCTCATGTATTTTACATCATTATAAAGGGAATTGAAAGACCTTTAAAATAAGGTATCACTCGACCCCACTTTCCATTTAAGATTTTTCATGCTGACAAAGATATATAACAAAAAATAGGAAAATAATTGGCAAATTCCGCAAAAAGCAGGAAAGTGGATTCAAGCATATGAAAGGTTACCCGAGCAATACGTATTTCTGCTTGATGGCTTCTCAGGCCCGAAATGAATGCACATATAATGAAGTTAGAGGGGGTCAATTTATAGCCGGGCACCCCGTACTTTTCAGACGTTACTGTAGGTCACGTTGATTGACACAGTTATGACTCATGTAAGAAAATGCATTCCGAAGTCAATGACTCTCGACAAATTTTTTCAAAAAAAAAACGTGGTAGCCAAGTTTTCGGGATGTATTTAATAAACACCCTATTTGTATTTTTCTTGTTGAGGGCAAAAATCTATGATGTTTGAAATATGTCTGATAGGTGCATAGAATTACGGGGGATAGAGGTATATTAATAAACTAACATCAAAAAAATGAGATTTAACTACCTCCACCCTCTGCAACCCCCAACATCCAATTTTGAACCCCTTAAAAGAAAATGATAAGATTTTTATTTTTTTCGTTTTTTGCGCCTAGCTCTGCCGCCACTGGATCGATTTTCGACAGCTACAAAAAACCTGTGTATCAAACAAGTTTGATTTCCAGTCGTTGACACGCCAGCCGGGTAGTGATCATTTCGATGACTAGTTCAGTAAAAAAGATGTCAAGTAGGTTGACTCTGCACTTCCTTGGCGACGACGTTCATAAATGTATGTATGGCATTACTCTGTAGTGCCGCCACCTCACGACGCCCCACAATCAGATCGGTATCCCTGATTTGACGGCATACTCTCCTACATTTGGCAACACCGTTATAACTCAACAACGCTTTTCTCTTTCGATATTCCTTCAAACGCAACCATCAGTGGAGGTCACAGATTTCCACTTACACTCGCGAACGAAAAATGAATCTGGTACTACGGTACATTAAGGCCACAAGTGCAGAAGCTGACGTTGCGCAGTTTGTCTTTACGTACTCTGACCAATCTTGCCCTAGTCCGACCACGTTTAAGAGCATTTTCCGAAACTTCGTGAATCGTGGCTGCATCAACTCTTGTCGACATGAAGCATCTCAACGGCAGAATAATGACGAAGAAGAAAATGTTACCGGAAGGACAAGGTTGCCAGGGACGACGCAGTTTGTGGTTATGTCGAAGGGACACTTCAGAGAAAGGAACCTCAACCTTGTACTAGTTGTAAAGTATCAGAAGTCAGTGTCCCAGTCAGTACAGGCAGGCGTATTCTGAAGTAGCCTGGCTATAAGCCATTTAAGTTTTAAGGATAAAATAAATCACACTACAGAAATTGATCCAAAATCGCTTCCGTCTGTTTTTGCCACTGAACCAACAAACCTTCTTGAACCCTCGATAGCTCATGGAATTACAATATTTTTATCTTACCAATAAGCGTCGTCTTGAGACACAATATGAAGCACATCTCCTTTGACAAAGTCCAACCCAGCCTCTTTACACGGTATGTACGGATCATTAGCCGAATCATAGTTAAAATGAGCTCTGACTCTGACCCTGCTCTCCCGAATGCTGTATTTTCCGTCCGTAGGAACTAGCTTGAAAGTTATCGTGCCCTCGGAGTTTTGCTGCAAAAAAATGCTTGTTAATCATAGAAATTCTCAAAAGTATATCACGAGATTTTATATCACCTTGCCTACTAATATCATAAATGAGAAGGTGTGGATGTTTGTTAATCATGCCAAAATGGCTGAACGGATCTGGATGAAATTAGATACAGATAGATTACAGTCTGGAGTAGCACATAAGCCAGCTTTAATCCTTATAACATGGAAATATCTATTTCACGGACTACAGCCCAAACAGCTTAATGGAATTTGACATGACGTACCTGGCGATGGAGCGGTAAGTCGCTGGTCCGACCAAAATGAGTAAGGGCTCGATAATTCTTTGGGGATGGATTTTGAGGGAAACTCCTTCAAATAAAAGTTGTAAGATCTTCCGCAGCTATCGGACAGTGACTTTGGATGTTTCCTTGATCTTGAAGGTCATTTTAAGGTCAACTTCAAAATTTCAAATGCACCTTTTATCTCGGCAATGAAACAAGCGTCAACCTTTACGTTCACATATGACCTTGAATCACGCTTACATTTGAATGCGGAATGCGTTTAAGGGGAAAATGCTTCAAATAAAAGTTGTGTGATTTTTCGTTAGCCTTAGATTTGACTTTGACCTTAGAGGTCATTTTAAGGTCAACTTCAAAATTTCAAATTTAAACTTTTGATTCCGCTGATGAAACGAGCGGAAAATTGTTCCTTCAACCATGACCTTGAACGACCCTCATCTTTGACCTTGACTGATCCCTCCAGGTCAAATTACCGCTAGGACTCCATAACTATTCGGGAATGAATTTTAGGGGGGATGATTATAAAGGTTGTAGGATTTTCCTCAAATATCGTAAAATGGCCAGGAATTGTTCCTTGGTTGTCCTCCAATGTAATTTGAAGGCCATCTTCAAATTTTAAATGTAAGCCCTCATTTTTTATCTCGCCAATCGAACGAGTGAAAAACTTGGATGTATCCTATATTTGAACTTGAGTAACCAACCCCCTGGCCAACAAAGGCAAGGATAGCCCCGGTCCACTAACGTAAGTTTAAGGGCCTCAGCTATTTCAGCAGTCCGTTTTCCAATTAAAAACCTCTATTTTAAGAGTAGGTCTCGCCGATTGATGTTGGGCAGAGAAAATCCGGCTAATTAAGGCAAAGTTGATCGAACTCGGCCAATTAGACGACTGTTTAAGCTCTCCAGATCATTTTAGTTTAGGTGACAATTCTTAAGCTTAGGTAACTATGAGAAAGCTTGGGGGGTCACCGTTTAACATCTTTGATTCATTTTTACTGTGGGTGACTATCTCTAAGCTTTGATGAACATAAGGAATCTTGGGGGACCACCGTTTAGCACCATCAATGAAATTTTATTTTCCCCATAACTACTTTCAGCGATCTGTTTCTGCTTATCTACCTCACACTAATATTACAAAGAGCTAAAGTTTGTGAGTAGTGAGTAGAAAGCTACAATATTCCTGAGTAACGTATCACCGTCTTATAACTGATAAACAATTAAAATGCATTCCCGAGGAGTGATAGTTTGACCTTGAGGGATCACTCAAGGTCAGATATGGCCGTAGTTCAATGTCATATCTGCACACAGAATTCACCGTTCGTTTCAGTGCTGGTATCAAAAGTAGGGGTTTACATTTAAAATTTTGTGGTTGACCTTCAAATGACCTTCAAGGACAAATGTGTCACAAAGTCGCAGTCCGGTAGCCAAGGCAAAATTCTCCTATTTGAAGCATTTTTCCTAAAATGCATTCCCAAAAAGTTACTTTTAGCACTTTTACCACATCACAGCATTTACATCGTACATTAACTGCATTTTTTAGCGTTATTGTCTTGATTTAGATTTGTTTTGGTGGTTCAAGTATAATACTGTTAATAGATAGTTATTGGGTTATTTGTCAAACAATAATGCCGCTAGGCGGGTAAGATACATTTATCTCTTATCTAGCAAACTCTAATGCTGTGGGGTCAGGTATCTTCTTCTTCTTCTCTATATAGAAATGTGATTGACTATCCAACCTGTCAGCATCACGTCTGAATAGAGACAGACGTAATAATTTGTACACCTACTAATTGATACTCGGGTTATATGCATGGCTTTATCCGCGAACTCATCGTCGTTTTGTAATCAAAAAATACAGTACAATACAATACAATACTTTATTGGTGTTTAGTGTACATACTGTACTTACACACGTCAGTCTGTAACAAAATTTTATAGTATACTTAGATAATAATCTTTTAATCCACTTTGCAGATGAGAAATGTATATATATATAATAATATATAAAAAGGTACAGTAATATACTGAAAATAATTTAAATAGCAATAACAGATACAGCTCATATCAAAATTTAAAGTCCAAGAACTCATGGTATGAATAAAAAGTATTTTCAGCAAATAAACTACTTATTGTCTGTTTGAAGGCATTTAAATTTAAGGATCTCATTTGCAGCGGAAATTTATTGTAGTATTTGGGTACGGTAATTTTTAAACTTTTCTGACTTTTCGTTAATCTTACAAAAGGAATATTTAAGTTCCCAACACTCCTTGTATCATAGTCAGTATGAGAGGTATGCGAACAGCAATTTAAATACATCAGTGGTTCATAAACATATATTGAAGGCAATGTGAGTATCCTCAATTCTTTGAATGCTTGTTTGCAATCGTCAGTATAATTCAGTGAAATCAATATCCTAATTGCCGCCTCTGTAAAGAGAATATTCGATGCCAGTCCGCACCCTGACTCCAAACTAAGATACCATATGATATCAAAGAGTGGCATAGAGCAAAGTAAACTGACTTAAACGTATCACTATTCAACTCATACGATAAGCTTCTAAGTAAATGTTTATTCTTAGCTTTTTTGATGTTTCATTACTGTGTATGTCCCATTTCAATTTCTTATGTATGTGTATACCTAGAAATTTTGTAAGTTCTGTATGTTGTGTTTCTGGATCTTTCAATGAAAATATCATATTAACTGTCTTGTTTTCATTCAGGGTCAGCTTATTTGCATCAAACCAGTTTTTGGCTGTCGACTGTGTGATCAAACCTTTCCCAAGAAGCTCAGAAATGTTTTTTGATCTAACAGAGATGGCAGTATCATCAGCAAATATTATATAATTTCCATCTTTGTGGCTCGGCAGATCATTGATATACGAGCCCCTTCCCACTTCAGTTGGCCCAACTATTAAAATCTTTTTTTTCTTATTAAACACAAATAAAAAAATGTAGCAGGGTGTTATAGGTTTAAAATATTAACAATGAATATTTTGATAATATACAGGGTGACTTTGAAGTTGAGTCATTAATTTTCAGATAATGATTGTAGAAGGAAGATAAACCAAAATATGTGTGTAAAAATAAAAAAAAAATAAAAAAAAAATGTTACCTTGTTTAATAAAGTATCCTCCCGACAAGTATTTCAGTGCGGACCTGTATTTGATCGTGCGGTCTTGGAGCAGCATGCCCTCACCTGTGAGGTCTTAAGTCACCTGATTCACGAGCCCTTTGTACTACATTAACAAAGGCACGAGGGGTTGGTTGCACTCGATTGGGAAACCGATTCGCATAAATCCGTGATGCATCCGGGAGCATTTTGTAAAGACTGCCCCCCCGTAAATAAGAATCATGTCCACAAGTTCAGCATTTTCGTAAACATGTGCCATTTTTGATTTCGTTTGAACCACGCAACACACTACTATTCACTTACGCGTTATCGACTGACGAAAAACATCGTGATAAACGTTTCAAATTCTTTCGCTTTTTTGTTTCCGATGCGATGAACCGGTCAGGCGGATTATATCCGTTGTCGCCAAACACGAGCATATAATAGGCAGGGCGGTACTCAAACTTCCAAAGGGCTATAACTTTGTTACTTTAATTTTACCAGAAAAATGGTAAAGGAAAAAAACATTTCTTTTGATCAGATCTACTCACTGTTAAAATAAATGACTCAACTTCGAAGTCACCCTGTATAGTAGAAAACACCAACTTTACCACTCCCTAATCAAATTTGCAGCATAAAAATAACACATGTTGCAATTACAGCATATCAACCTATTTTCATTTCAATGCATAATAAGTCTATAACGCATAGGTGGCTGTGAAAAATAAAAGCCCTGACAATTGTTTTTATTAATCACAGCTGTCAGAATACGTTTAAAATAGTTTTGGGTAGTTAAGGTTTTCAAAATGGGTAGAGGAAAGGTTATTAGTGCGAAAATTCGGTTACTGATAATTCAATTTTTTAATTCTGGGAAATCAAACTCGGAAATTGCAACTTTGTTAGACTTATCGAGGTACAGTGTGAGAAATATTGTTAGAAGATATAACGTAACTGGTTCAGTTAATATTAAGCCACGATATGTGAAAAAAAGGAATATCACAAATGCCGACCGAAGAGCATTAAGAATAATCGTGAAAAACAGGCGTGCCAATAATTTACAATTAAGTGCTCTGTGGAGTGACGCTGTTGGAAGGAGAATTTCGAGGTCCACAACTCATAGAGAGGCCTACAAACTGGGATTAGCACACAAGGTAAGTTTTACAAAAAAAAAGTGAAGTAAAAACCCTAAAGTTGCACAACTTGTTTATAGGCCAAAAAAAGGCCACTATTAATTCCACTGCAGAAGAAAAATCGGCTTAGATGGGCTAAAGAACATAGACAATGGAGACCTCAACAATGGTGTGCAATACAATGGAGTGATGAGGCCCGATTCGAAGTTTGTGTTGGTGACAGTCGCAGTAGAGTTATTCGCAAAAAAAAATGAAGCATTCCATGTTAACTGTCTGAAGAGAAAAGTGAAATTTCCAGCATCCATTATGGTCTGGGGCAGTTTGTCATCAAAACTAGTAGGAAAACTTCATTTTATTGATGGAAATCTGGATACAAACAAATATTTGGCAATTTTAGAAGAATCGCTTTTACCAGTGATGGCAGAATCTTTGACATCCGGCCAAGATTTTGTGTTTCAGCAAGATGGTGCAGCGTGCCATACCTCCAAAAAGGCTATAAAATGGATGGAAGAAAATAATGAAATACTTGTGAAATGGGTTTCTAGCAGTCCAGATCTGTCACCTATTGAAACTTTGTGGCACGAGATGAAAAAGGTTCTACGACAACATCCTGCTCGTACAATCACCGAACCGAGACAAAAGCTTCAAGAAATATGGGATTGTGTTACACCAAATTTTTGCCAAAACTTGGTTAACAATATGCCCCAAAGAATTTCAGCCGTAATAAAAAACAAAGGTGATGTTATCCAATGGTAATCTTTCAATTTTTGCTTTGTTAACTTCGCGCATTTATTCGCACATTGTTTATTTGTTCAGATGTTCTATTAGTTATAGGTTTCGGTGATTTCAAATATGTATTTTTTACGACTAGAGTGTATCTAAAATGTTTTTGAGAAAATAAATTGTTTTAGTAAATAGTTTCGTCATGTCTAGTTTATAAAGGCATATTTTGGTACAAATCTTGAAGTGGTTCAACTGAAGTGGGAAGGGGCTCGTATATCAGAAATAAAATCGGCCCAAGAACTGAGCCCTGGGGTACCCCGTGTTCAATATGCTTCTCATCTGATGTTTTATTTCCGATTTTTACTAACGTTTTCTATTTGTTAAATACGAATTGATTAGGTTGCAAGAATCTGTTTCGAAGTTATACATTCTGAGCTTTCTGGTATGTGATACACAGTCAAATGCCTTGCTCAAATCACAGAATATGGTCTGCAAGAATTCTTTTTCTTCAAAAGCGTCAACTATGTCATCGACCCAACTCCAAAACAGCGAAGGTCGTGTTTTTTTGACATCGAAATCCAAACTGGTTCAAATAGAACATGTTATCAGTTTCAAAATGTCAGACCATTTGTCTCACCAAGCATTTTTCGTAAATTTTGCTGAGAATAAGAAGTAATGATATTGGGCGATAGCTTGCGATATCATCAGTATCGCCATTTTTGAAAACCGGTATCACAACTGCACTTTTAAGCCGTCCGGAAATATGCTACACTCAAAGCAAATATTTATTAATTTGGTTAGAGGCATTGTGATTTGATTTTTGATAATTTGTATTAAAAGAGTGCTCATATCATAAATATCTTTAGACTTCTTTCTTTTAAGAGAATTGATAGCATCTCTGACGTCATTAAATGATACTTTTTTAAAGTTGAAGTGGCGCATTTGTGGAACTATATTACTTTCTGGATGTAGCTCACCTGCAACCAAGTTTTCCAACAGTTTATTAGCAATGGCACAGAAAAAGTCGTTGAATTCTTATGGGTCTTTTGACGCATTCATACCAGTGCTTGTATTTTTGTTTTTCCTAACAATTTCCCACATAGTCTTCATTGGGTTGTTAGACCTTTTAATGATTTGTTCATTATAACTTTTTTCGTTGCATTTATTTTTTGTTTATATTTTTTCTTAAAGCTGTTTAGTCTTTTTTTCATGTAAACAGATTTTTATATATACTAAAATCTTTTCCGTCAGCGTCAAACGTTTTATTTTAAACCAGCTATTATGCGTGATTACGTATGCTTCAAACTGTTGTACAAAACATTGTTTCTAATTAATGCTATGAACTTCCGATCGCGTTTTGGGTATTTGATGAGATTAGAAATTGTTACTCTATCGATGGCTCCACCTACACGTTCCGCGGGTAAGCCCGCGGAACAAAAAGCTAGTTATCAAATATAAACAAGAGATGAATAGGTTGTCTTAAACAGATTCCCTCCACCATAGATAATAAGGTTATAATATAAACATTACCTTTTTTCAATGCTTCTCCAGCATATACCAACGTAGGGGCAACCTAAATAAAATAAGCAGCAAAATAAAGTAAAATGAAACGTAAAAACGAAAAAAAGCGAAAGCATTCAAAACAATAATCAATACTGTAATACAATATTAAAAAGAAAATAAATACAAGTGCTTCAGCACATTGTTACCAATACAAAGCTGCAAAAAACTATTCAATGGAGATGTACAAGCATATTTTGAACTTATTTTTGTTATCTCTGATACTATTTTTCATGCACTTGTTTCTTGGTGGAATAAATATCTTTTTTCTCATCTATGTGGAAGACTTTTTTTATATGCTACAACCCAGATAAAGAATCAAAAGCATACCAAGATAGTAAGTACATCATTAGGCGTTTTCCCTTCAACATTGATGTTATTGACTTCAACAACTTCATCCCCAACATGTATCAGACCTGACCTGTCAGCTGCCCCTCCATGGAGTACCCTGGCTATCACTATTTTCCCTGTAGCTTCATCTTTCTTGATTGTCGCCCCCTATATCAAAATAAGTTAAAAACATTCAAACAGTGTAAATATCATATGCATTGATTGTGATTTTTTGGGGTCTCAATTGTGTAACTAAACAGCTAAACTGTAACATATGTTTTTGAGTAAGCATAAAATGGAATAAGGAAAAAATCTATGGAAAATAATGTTTTATACACATAGTGCATAACTAGATATAATTTGAAATGAAATGAAAAATATTGTGTACTGTACCATGACCTGTCATATTTAAAGCAAATGTCTAATTATCTGTTACACTTATGAGGAGTACTAGAGGTGTTGTAGGTAAAAGGATTACTATAGAGTTAGTAGCCTGTACTTACAACTATGGGTTCAGCATTTTGTGCCCCAGACTTTGCACAAAAGAAAAAATAACACATAAATTCTAAGTACACAAAGAACACGCTGTATGAAGCTTTTTTAGCAATATTCAACATTACAAAATGTATGAGGCTATAATCAGGAAATTATACATGAGTATGTTGATAGAAAGCGTCATAACTGCCTTTTTACAAATGCTTTGAGTACATGCGATATATAAAAAGTGTCAAACTGACAAGAGCTTTTCACAGACATTTGATGCTGAGAACTAAAACTGTTACCAATCAAAGAATGTGGATATCCTACACTATATTTTATCTTTCTCCATTCATAAATTATTTTAAAAATGTTGAGACAAATAAATATATATTTTTTTAAGAAATAGCAACAGCTAGATTACCCCTTCATTCAACATATTCATTTGTATGACTTCAGTTATTACCAATATTTTTTAGCGATGGTGGCAAATTATGATTTATTCTTATTAGACAGCTGATTCTATTACTATAAAATTGATGATAAAATGAAAATGGTAAAAATTTCATTTTTTCTTCAGTACATGAGAGCAATATCTCAACATATCAATTCAACCAAAACTGCTCCAATTCATGAATCTTATAATGTTTGTAATGTTGAATAATACTGCAATCTAAGTGTTGATCTAGCAAATTTTGTTAGCTCCTGTAGTAAAAGTTGAGAATATAAAATAGATGATTGAATCTTACCAGAGGTTCATTGCTTTTAACCAATTGAACAATTTTGATGGTTTCTTCTTCATCACCTTCATCTCTTGGGATTTCAGGCAGCCGTGGATAGTAATCTTTCTGAGCTACCACATCATGGACATTCAATAAACTCTAAAAAAGAATATTATATTTTTGTCACTGTTCACTATTTGCAAAAATGAATTGTAGACTCTGAATAGAACAGAATAAATGATCTCTAATCTCCCATAACCATATCACCATGGAACTTCAACAAGTAATGCTGGATTCTAGATTCATGGAATACTAAAACTAATAAGGTGTAACTTACATTACTCTTATTTGTGCTGGCTTATGTAAAACATAATACATTTACTTTTTAGCTTATGTAAGAAATAATATACTCATTCAATATATTAAGATGTTCCTAGATAAATGATTGGCGCCATTTATCCCTAGCACTAGGGGAATATGATAGATAGCCAGTATCAACTTGAGAGCTTCATTAAAATAAGGCATTAAATATCTTTTGAATTAACGAGATTGTCATGTTATCTTTGAAAACATAACAAGATAAAAAACAGCTCCTAAACCTAGAGAAATGGATGGTCTAAAAAATCGTGTTTTCCTTTTTCCAGTATCATGCTTGGTTCTTTAATCACAGAAGCAACAAGATTATAGAATTCTAAATTCAATACTTTTCTTTACAAAAACCTTTTTTTAAAAAAAACTCTGATAGCAAAACTCTTTGTTAGTATCTCTGACAAACAAATGAGTTACACAAGACTTATGGATGCATGTTTTACATAAGAATATATGCAAGTACAAGGGAGCCTCAAGTTTTAAGACAAGTTTGCATAGTAAATGTATCTACAATCTAAATTCTGTCATCTAGTCTCATTAGTCCTTGGCCGATTATTTGTGATTTAAGCAATAAAATCAAATTGTATTAATTATTTCTACTTTTGCATTCATACTATTACCTGAAGGTGTGGCTTCTGAAGCAGCTGAAAGAGTTCCTTCCCATCTTCAGACAACCTATATGTCTTACGTGCTAGATCTTCCAAAACATCAGCAAGGACATCAATTGAGCTAGATAAAACTGGAATCAGCTTATCACTGGTGCCATTCCTGATTTTATTGTACACATTCACCAATGCATGTAGGGACTTTGAGTTGAACATTACATTTAGGAAGGCTAAGTCCTCTTCTAGCAGCATGCCACTTTCTTTTTCTAGGCAGGATAGCAGCTTACCTATGACTTTGTTTCAAAAAATAATTTGGTTTTAGTTCACACAAAAAATGATACATGAAGACTGCAACACAAGAAGTTATGACCAGTAAGGCAAATTTTTTCAGACAGTAAAAACATTAAACATAATTTGAGATAAGGGATTGACTATAGTTGCTCTGTTAGTTTTTATTGGATGTTGGATGATGCAGAATTCATAAAAATCTACCATTCTCTCTTGGTACTGCATAGCAAGAGAAAGGATCTAAAAAACGACACACAAAAGGAAAATATTAAAATAGTTTTGCTTTTTACTTAACATTGAAGATGGATTTATTTTGATACAGTCTCCAAGACAGTAATCCAGGAATAGAACATACCTGGATCTGGTGTGAACCTGTCTTCTGAATCACTAGTTTTCTCATCCTTATCACTAGACATTTCGCCGGTCGTTGACATCGTTTTGTGAATAAGGAAACTCTCAATACAATTTTCTTGACTGGTCCATTATATACGATTATTGTGGGTAATTTCGTCTAATTTTAGAATAATGTAGGTCAGCAAAAACTCAATACACCTGGACAACAAATGAAGACATGTATTTCAGTTTCAATAATCTGATCGTGAGATGTACCTATTAGGATTTTCGTAAAATAATCGCGCCAATAAAATAATGAAAAAACCCATTTTAAGAAAAATTACCTAAACGCTCTGTGCTTGTTATATTATAGTCTGCATAGCTTCGGAAAATGTACCACCATGCACTATTTGACCGCACATTTTTACACTAAATCCAAACTGATGGGGAGTAATTAAAAAAATCGAAACGCTCCCAATCGCAAAAACACTCTATCAACCTATCCTCTAGAGGGGTTTATCTCTGCTATCCTCGAATGTGCTCGAAAGCGACACTACAGAAAACTGAAATTTGAGAAAGTTGATCAAAACGTCAGATGAAATTTTTTTGAAACATGTTGAAAATTATGTTCGGTAGATGTCAATGGCACCCAAACGCAGGCCACTCACTGTGTATCGAGTCCGACAAATCACGTATAGATGTCGTTACGATCCAACAATGTAACGATACCTAGAAAAAATATTGAATTACGCATGCAACTAATTTTCTAAGTCACATACACATGACGCCACCACTTAACTAACTATATAGCATCAACTAGAGAAAAATTGTTCAATTAAAATAATTGTTTTATTACCTACTTTTAATCACAACTACTAGATAGCGCAAGTAACATTTAGAATAACATGGCGACATCTATTAGAAGGATAAGTAACATGAGCTAGTTTCATATAGATGCCTATAATATAGTGACAGCTGTCATTTCAAGTTGTACATTTGTTAAGTAAAGTTTACGGAAAACTCAAAAATCTTGTTTACAAATACAATTTTATACTTTCGGATGCATAAAATACCCTGAAATAATGGTAATATACGGTATTTACATCGTATCAAAATCCGGAGGCTTAATTTTCAACTATGATAACAATACACCCAAAATAGAAACTGAAAAGAAATTCAACTATCCTCTGGATATAAAACTGCAAGTAGAAAACAAGAAAATAATAGTGGAATTTGGACAACGGGATGGAATACATGGTAGTTTATTTATCTCACCTGACATATTCAATAAAAGGAATAGAATTACTAGTCAAGTCAGTTACCAGAGACAAACTCCTGTATTCTTTTTTTTTAGTTGGACATGTCCTGTATGCAGTAAATGGAGTACAAGTAACAGGACGACAAATGGACGATGGTCAAGATGCTCTAGAACTCCTGGACAAGCCAGAAAATTATCCTGTTACCTTAAAATTTGGCAGACCTAAAATGACTACCAATGAAAAGATATTTCTAGCTAGCATGTTTTACCCTCTATTTGCAATAGCTAGCCAACTGAGTCCAGAGCCAAAATCATCTGGAATAGAAATACTGGAATCTGACACATTTCGATTGAACTGTTTTCAGACATTGACTGGAGTAAAAATTATGACTGTTGCAGACCCCATGCAGCCAGGAATGGAGATATTTTTGAAGAAAATATATGAGATATATGCTGATTATGCTTTAAAAAATCCTTTTTATTCTTTAGAGATGCCTATCAGGTGTGAATTGTTTGATAGTAATCTTAAGAGTATTTTAGAACAGATAGAAAAGACAGGTACAGTCACAAATGTCTAATATTAGACTAATTATTGTAAAGTGTTATTATAATTATAAGGATTTTTCATTTATATTTCCATAATTTACAACCAGATTAAATTTTTTTCATAAACTGTGAGTTTCTATTTTCCTTTAATGAACCTGTGGAAGAACAATAAGTTGTTCATTTTCTCAATTTTCCAAGACATTTTTATATATTGCCCAAGCATTAACAAGGATCGATGTTGAGTAACTCGGTTCTACGATAAAGGAATGAAGTCTTAAAACCTATTCAAAAGCTTCCTCGTAAACAAGGATTTTCGATCTTTCGCATGTGTAGTAAGCAGTGTGGCAACGGTGGATTGTCCTCAAAAGGAAGGGGATATGACGCATTTGAATGGTCGATTTCCCGAACACCCGGCCAAAATCGACCAACCAGTGGAGTGCGTTGGAGGTCGAAAGAAACGTGTACCGTGTGAAGAAAATCTGAAAACTCCGTTGTGTCTGTTGAACGATTGTTTCACAGCTCACTAAAAAGTTGAGTCAGAAAATATAAAACACACCAAAAGCTTTGTTCGTAAGTAGTAGAAATAGTAAAATTTTGGAGGTTGTGGAAAATGAATCAGACCTTTGAGGAATGGGATGAACTTAACAACGACTTCAAACAGTTGGAGGTTAGTCTGATTTACAAGGAAACATGACTCTTCACATCCATTAGAATACACTGAATCCGTGTTCTCTAATCATGTTAATTATAGAATGTTCAAGCATTCCAAATTACCTGAAGTTGATTTGGATTTTGTGTTTAGTTCTCGTTAAAATACTTCCTGACCTATCCAAATCATAAGTAAAATAGGTATTTGTGTGTCAGCTGAAGGTTTCAATCAAACTGTTTGAGACATTTACCCAAATCCCCTCAGAAATGTTTAAAGCTTAGACCAAGCTATTTTTGCCTAAAATTATATGTTCAGTATATATAAAAACTTCTGATTACTTTCCATTCAATTTCCTATAAAATTATCATTCACTTGTGTACAAAATACTTTATTTTGATCCTAAAAACTAATGACACAATCCTAAAAGTCCAAACAGTATGCCTACAACTGCAAGAAAAAGTGTAGGTACTTTACTTTCATTACTTTGTGCTGTTGTAAGCTTAGGGATCTATATTTATCTATATTATTGACAAATCTACTTAACTAAAATTGTCATGCTTTATTTTTTTTATCCCAGTGTTGCTAAGGTTAAAAACCTGAATGTTTCACATGCAATCATTCCCTATTTTGTTCATTACTGCACACATTTGATCATTAGATAAATTGGAACAGTGGGGCTTAGTCTAGGGGGAATTATATAATATATTGGTAATGGGTTTTTGTTTACAGATAGACAACAAAACATACATCCAGCACTTGGATCAGTTGACAAACTTACAGAAGAAATGTCAGAGCCATCTTACTCATCAGCGATATCGCTTAGATATCATTCAGAGGACACTAAAAGAGTAAGCTTACCATTTTTCAAACCATTTTTAATGTAATTTTTCTGTTTAATTGCAGGTTAGAAAAAACCAAAGATAAAGAAAAGCACAAAGAGGATGAAGAGAAAATCAAAGAGCTAGAAAGCAACATTTTGAAACGAAAAGCACAGTTGCATGAAGTGGAGCAAACATTACCAAAACCAAATGGCATTTACTTAAAGATCATTTTAGGGAATGTGAATGTGTCAATATTGAACAAAGAAGAAAAGTATGTAGATTTTTTCTAAGCTCAATTTAATATGATCAATTCTTGGGTCCAAATGATGCTATATGTAATAAAAATACATACTTTTGAGATAATCCTTGATGAAGGATTCCACCAGATGTTTGGAATTCCTTAGATTACCTGTTTTGAGACTAACACAAAGATCAGGGGACTCTCTAAAAATCCATGGTTTCATACTTTTACAAGTATCTGTAATATTGGCTCAGGTAGCTTTCTTACAAATTTCTTTACTAATGTGAGTCTAACTGGATTGAATAGCTTGGAGATCCATAATGTTGGAAGGCTTCTTTATATGATACACAAATTTAGTTATTAATCATTGATTTTAACATGTACAAATAATATTATCTATAACTATATGGGAGGTGGGACCTATCTGCAATAATTTGACCAAGGACGCTTTGCCCAGTTCTATTAATCCTAGGCAGTCAATCAAATATCACATCTTTATAGCAGTTGCAGTATCTCAGTTCAGGTTTTGTCTTCACAGCTTCAATGTAAAAAAAGATTCATACAATGATGTTCAATCCCATTACTGCTAGAAGGACAATGGCCTTAATTTTATGAACAACATGAATTCTTGAAATTGAAGTTTCCTAGAAACTTATATAAGTAGTAGTATAGTAGTACATATAAAAATATAATATGCTTAATATGTAATACTTGAATTTTATCCTCCCCCACAGTGGCCTTATTCAAAATATCAGTAAAAATTAATTGATTTGTATGTGGATGCATTAGGCCAGAAGATCATGGAGTTCTGATATCACATGTTTACTTCTGATTTTTTATCCTGTAATTTGAGTAATTAGTAGAGACCAATTTTTTAATGAATGAATAATTTGATTTAAATAGTGTAACTAAGTATACATTTTCACTTACTTATTAAGTACATTTGACTGACATATTTGAAAAGAATTAATTTTTGGTTGTGCTATCAAGATGAATCTAAGGACACCTTACATGTGAAAAGCCATTTGTAGCTGTAGTCCATGAAATACAAATTTCAAGGTTGAAATTTAAAGATCGCCATTTTGATTTTATGAAATTTTGGTATACCCAATGTCACTCATGCTGTTAAGAGACACATCATAAATGTCAAAAACTATCAAATCCTTCTAGCTGTAGCCCATGGAGCCTATATATAGTCAGAATCACGAAAGATGACCTTTATGTCATACCATAAATTGTACTGAAGTAATCAATGGACGTACGTCGATGATAAAATCATGATGTCATGAATGATAACAACAAATTTATATTATGATTTTGCGAAGTTAGGTTATTTCACTGATTATTTTGATTTTCATTTTATTTTATGGTTTTGAGTTATAATCTTAGTTTTGAAAAAAACTGTTATGATTAGAATACCTACCTTAAGACAGAAACACCAAAGACCAAAGTATTATTCGAAAACAACCTAACCTGCTTTAACATAACCTAACTACTCATCTTTCATATGTGATCGATCATGCAACATGAAAACATCATCTATCTTTGTCGGATACATGCATATTAGCAACACAGTTTGTTTAGACAATAAAATTCTGTTTGTCTCTGTCTAGCATATCTGAAACTTAATTAAAAATATTCACAAATCGCTGTCGTTTGTCTTTACTACAGACTAAAATGATGACGTAATCGTCATCTTTCGTCATTTCAACTATATAGTTGTAGTCACCGTTCTTGGCGGTTACGTCATCAACGCCATATGAAATAAGTAAACAGATCGAGTCTCTGAACCATGGGCGGAACACTGTGCAGACTAATATTCAGCTCATCTGCTACTCTCTCCAGTATGCATGAAGTGGGTAACAGGGGGCCTCTGTGCCTCTGTTTTCACTCTCTTCCTGGAAATACTCTAATAAATTTGGCATTGTACAATTTTATATTGTGTCAAGTAAGTTTTCCAGATGGAGACACACAACTAAAAAACGTAAATTTCTTTGAGCTTATGGAACAAACGTTCACACACAGGGGCAGGTTGCGTGTACATATGAGGGAGATAGAGGTATATAAAGGGTTACTGTTGTCTTACTTTGACCGCCATGTGCTGTAAAAACGACCCCAAAACTTGACATCTGCAGTAACCGTAGTTCTTTGACAGGGTTACAATGTTGGGGGATTTTCCTCTAAATTTGAGGGATTTTTGATGTCGGATTTTTTCGTAGTATGGCTCCATGCTGTATCCCGTGAAATATAAAAATCTAGAAACATCCCAGTTGTCAAAATCCATCAAGTGTTCAAGCCCAATTTTTTTAATAAAATTTGCTATTTTGTTTTTAAAAAATGTTAATATAGTCATTGCCATTCATGTAGACCATGAAATAGAGTGTCTTGGATACAGACCTACTTGTGAAAAACAACCCTTTGTCTGAGGCAGTCGGGTAATAAAGACTAGTAAAGCGTTATATCCAAATTTCAAATCTCACTGAAAACACAAGCCAAGAAATTTGTTGCATTATAATTATAAGATGTTAAACATACTATTTGAACAAGATTATCTTAAACTTAACTATCTTCATGGAAATTAATTTGCTATATATATATATATATATATATATAGTTGATTAGCAAGTGTGTATTTTTACTATGTATTAGTCTTTGTTCTGCGTACATTGATGTTTTACTAACAGCACAAGTACCCGAAATTTTAAAGTTATCGGAAAATCGATCTAATAGCGGCAGTTTATTAAAAAAACAGTATAAAAGAAATTAGGAAATATTTTTGTACGATTAAAATAATATTCGCACATTTTACTTTAAAAATGATTTTTTACGATACTTCAACAACAATATTGTATCGCTATGTTAAATGGTTACCAAACAATTTAAGAAAGAGAGAGAGAGTTTGGTTAAAAATAATAGCAGTAGGAAGCACATGCCTCAGGTCAAAACAAATGCTGTGTTACGTATTATAAATATAATATAAAATTTCATTTTTCGTTAAGTTTTCTTAGGAAGAAAATGTAATAAAATAATACTATTCGAGGAAGTTATGTAGCATACAGTAGCGGACAAACGTTTGGAATCATTCTTAGTAATTTTTAAAGAGTAGGCTAATTTTTTATTATTTATTATTAAGGACTATTTTTTTTTCTCATATAGTTTGCTTACAGTATTGAGGATACAATTTATGTTTGCTGTGGTACTACAGACTAGCATTTAAATACCTTCATATTATTTTATGACCAAAAATAGTACTACAACAGTATGGAAACATTACAAAACTAAATACAATAATTCTACAAAGATTTAAAAAATTTTGCTTAGCTTGGTAGCATAGCCTTTGGCATTCAACACTGCCTGACATCTGCTGCTCATAAAAAACACCAATTTTTTACGAACGTTTGTTGGAATATTTTGCCAAATATTTTTTACATAATCAAATAAATCGTTCCTATTTTTAAAAGTTTTTCTTGTCAGTTGTCTTTCAACATTCTCCCAGACATGTTTTCTATATAGTTCACGTCCAGGGATTGCTAATGCCATGTAAGAACATTAACATTTTTTAGTCTTAACCAGTCCTTTACGAAGTTTGAGGTATGCTTGGGGTCATTATCTTGCTGGAATGTCCATCGTAAAGGCATTTCTTCTTCAGCAAAAGGGAGCATGTGTTCACTAAGAATATCTTTGTAAAGTTTTTGATCTATTTTCCCAACAATTTTAACCATTGGATCCGTTCTAGAACTAGAAAAACAGCCAAAACCATTATGTGTCCTCCACCATGCTTAACTGTTGGCAACTGATACTTTTTGTCGAATCTTTTTCGTATTGGTCGTGTCACATATGCCGTACCGTCAGATCCAAACAAGTTAAATTTGATTTCAGCTCCTTAAAACTGCATTCCACCTGTTGTTCTGTCCAAGTTAGATGAGTCTTAGCAAATTCAAGCCGAGCAATACGATTTTTTTTAAATGAGAGACTTTTGCACTGGACGACTGCCAAAAAGCCCAAAATCCACCAAGTATCTACACTGTTGTGGGCACCCTCTTCTACGATTTTTTTTAAATCTGTGTGGCTGGTATCCGAGGATCTTCATGGGACAAACCTTTAATGTAGCGATCCAAAACATAATCGGTTTTTCTTTCGGTCTTCCGCACCTGGGCCGCGCTGCTGTTGATCTGTATTCTTGATATTTACTAATAATCGTTCCTTTGTTCATTTTTAATCTTTGAGAAATGTCAACATTTCTGACACCACTTCCAAATAATTCAATTACTTTGTCTCTTAAATCTTTTGAAAATTCTTTTACTTTTGCCATTCTCACTGATGTTAATATGTACCACACGCAATATCAGAGTATCGTAGAACGAATAAATACAGCAAAACTAAAATGTTTCCATACTTCTGTCGTTACAAAAACTGCGGTACTTAAAAAAACGCTTTTTTATTTTCAGAGAATTTGAATATTGATAAGATAAACCTTGTATTAGTACGAGAGCCAAAGGTAGACTTTAATATTTATATTATCTGTTCCTTCACAATTTTAATTTAGGTATATGAAATAGGTCATAATAATGTTAATATAAGTTTGCAAACGTTTGTCCGCTACTGTATAGTTAAGCAACAAAATAAAGTTCATCGTAAAAATATTCAAAAATAGCGACACTGCACTCATTTTCGCGAGGCACATTCGCTCTGATTCACACAGTGTAGCTGATGCAAATTTGGATCTAGACAAAATAAAAAATTACTTATCGTACATGTTTATAGCGTAGGGGATTTCAGAAATATTGATTTTTGTGGTTGGTTTGTATTTGACTTAAAACGTTCAGTGTTAGATGAAAAAAGGTAATCATTTGTTAATAAATGATGATTAAATCACCTTGTTGGAATTTCCCTACGAGTTTCTCTACAAAATGCTATTTTAAAGATATTGTAAAAAATTGAAGGGGAAGAATGGCAATTGTTTGGGATATGTTGCGTGCTGTTTTGAAAAATCGTGTTTGGAGAAAAATCCTGCAGTGCCCCCATTTCTAATTTTTTTCCATGCAAATTTTTTTTCTGTTAATATGTATGCTTAATAGCTTCATCCAATATTATTACTTTATTACCGTTTCTTCCAACAAAAAAAACAAAATACTATTTTCACGCCGTTACAGTGGTGTTACTCCTTAATACATGTCATTTTGTATTGATTAGAAATGTCATCACACTTGTGATCGTATTGGAAAAAACTTCATATATATATATATATATTTATTTCAAAACTTCGCAGTTCCATTTAATTTGCATAAATTAATTATATCGTCCGGTACTAATCATTTCATTTTTCTGATACTGAATTAAGCCAACATAATGTTACCGTCTATTTTCATATACCATTTCTAGTTGAAAGCATTGGATACGAATATGTTACCAGTTATACTGTTTCTATATAAGGGTTTGTTCAATAGGTAAGCTCGCATGTTTTGCATTCCGGTTTTGTGATTATTTTCATGTATCGAACTATTTCTTAATAGTGTAATAAATAAACAATAATGTAACTTACTCGGGAATGTTTCAGTTGGTGCCAAAATACTGCAAGGCCCGCCGCGCCGGCAGAAGCACGATGGGAGGTATGAATTAATTTCAGAAACGCAAACTTATTAAAAAAGCGTTTAAAAGCGATGAAAAAAATATGTTTAATGGCTGCTTCACTTAGAGGTACATTTTTCAAAATCATGAAAAATAATAGCAATCATCCATGTTGGGTTGTAAAAAAAAGAAGCATTCATGAAATTCCGTTTAGAAAATAGTGTTTTCATATGTTGTCATCACTGCTGGTAACGTGGTTCATTTTAGTAAAAGTGGTCAGTCATCCATTATATGGATCAAACATTGCTACAAAAACTTTTAGTCTTACTGTAGCTAGATTTATTTACACAATTTTGACTGTTAAGTGCTACTATAACAACTTTTCATTTAGGTGAAAAATAGAAACGCCCGAACTTTGAATGTTCTTCAACAATCATTTCCCATAGTGCTTTTTGCTAAATAGGTTTTCGCTTATCTGAAACCGGTCTAATTTACAGGTTAGAAGAAATTTGAAATTAAATGTCAATCGCAATCGTATTTAAAAAAGTCGTCAAAATCGTTTGAACATTTTTTTAAACAACGGTCTTTTCGCTCCGGTCATTTTTTTTTTTTTAGATTTTTCAGTCGATCTGAACTCGCTCTGAGCAAAACATGTTTATATGAGAACTAAATGATAGTTTATAATATATAAGCGATTTAATATTTTTGGAAAAGTGCAAAAAAAATATGCAATTCTCCTGAATATTTTTTTAAATATCTGTTTCTTCAATTATTAATCAACTTTATTCAATTTGAAACCTTTATTTTATATAGATTTTACACATGATGGCTGAGGCTTATACAGGGTGTCCCAGAAATAACACGACAGAGTGACACGGGAGGTAGATTGTCTTCAGATCAATCAGATAAAATCAATATGTTCAATAAGTTGACTAGTTTTCGAGATATTAGCACTTTTAGGTTTTTTAAAAAAATTCCTACTTTTTGCTCCTTTTTGCCTGTTATGGCTATAAATAACTTCTAACTTATGATTTTTTCCTGATCCAGAATCAAATGTTGCTTGAAACAACCTAGTATTCATTTTCACTGTGAAAAAAATGTACCAGACTGAATCAGCAAATGACCTAAAAAACTAGCTATTTAATGCTCTTTCAAAAATAGTATAACATTTGTAGGTTATTTTTACCAAAAACTGAATAATTCCAACTTTTGTCATTGAAGTCATAATACCTGCGAAATACTACAAATAAAAAATAATAAGTGCAGCTGTCTTTTGTGTCCAAATTACAACTTTGTAGTTGCTGGAATAGCTTTTGATTTTAGCAAATGTCTAAAACAGCTAACCATTATCCTTTTTTATTCGTTGTTGTATGAAGGCATCAAAATAATGAACAGAACATTTGGTTGTATTTTGTTTTATTCCCATTGACTTTTACAACATTCTAATCAAATACAGAATTAGGAATCATTTTTAACATCTTAAAGTAACTAAATTAAAAATTAAATTAACAAATTAACATCCTGTAATGTAAATATTGCCTGAAATAAATGATTATTATTATTTTCACAACATTTTTTCAAAATGTCTACCACCGACTCTTATACACAACCTGCATCTTCTTAAAAATTGTCATTTTAAACGTCTCAAACTTAAATCGGATAATTTGTGTTGATTCGATGACGCAGTTCGTCAGCTGATCGAAGTGGTTTCCCGCAGGGTACCCATCATTCTGTAACCACATCCTTCTTGTCTCAAGAGGCAGACACATCTTTCAAAAGAATGGGTAGATGCTGT